TACCACCACCAACACACCTACCTCCACCAACACACCTACCACCACCAACACACCTACCACCACCAACACACCTACCACCACCAACACACCTACCTCCACCAACACACCTACCACCACCAACACACCTACCTCCACCAACACACCTACCACCACCAACACACCTACCTCCACCAACACACCTACCACCACCACCACCTTCACTACCGCAACCTGATCCTTCAACACACACCTGTCTGCAAGCTTAGGTACGCAGCGCTGGACACTTTAAGCAAACCTGTGGTCAGAGATGAACTGGTGGCCGGGGACTTCCTCATCCACCACAGCTCATGCATACCACCGCTATTAGTGTGGCCGTAATCCTTCTCCTTGTTTGAGTGTTATACCGTAAATAGTACTACAACTCACACCTTTGTTAATTCCTCTCTACTTCTGTTCAAGACTTACCTCTACTACAACTCATATTACTATTATTACTACAATCATCATAATTCTTACCTGTCATTAGCACCACTGCCTTCATTAGTGGTTATTACTTTCACCACTACCCTCTCACCACTACCCTCATCACTATCTTGCACCATTACCGTCACACCAGACACCTTCACCATTACCCTCACCACTATCGTTGCACCAAGCTGGTCATGAGACTCTTAAAAGAAACTTCGTGACAGTTGCAATCCCGTCCTCATCCCCCCTCCTCCTCCTCCTCCTCCTTACCCCCTCACTTCCTTCCACCTCCTTTCCCATGCTCATTTCCCTTCCCTCATTCCTCCTTGTTTCCTTCTTTTTCTCCTCCCTTTTCCTCCATCCACTTCCATCATTTTTCATTCTTCGACTCCTCCTTTCTGTTTCCCCTCCCCCCTCCCCCCTCCTCTACACCAGTCATAAACTACAGTCAGTATTGGTGAACGCTGTTGTAAACTGTATCCCCCACAGTATTCAAGACGGGTTGACGGAAGATAATACTTGGTGCTGTTGAGCCTCCTTCACTAGGGGCTGGTGGGGGGGATGAAGGAGGGGGTGAAGGGTAACTAGTGCAGTGATTGAGGCAGAACGGGGAAGTGAGGGAGTGGGAGCCGGACGTAGCCTCCTCCTCCTTCTCCTCCACCACCACCACTCCTGTCATGACTCACCACCCTCCCCCCTTCCTCCCTCTCCCTCTTCCCACACAATCCCTCCTCCCCCCACCCTCCCACACCTCCCCCAACACTGTCTTCCCTCCCTCCCACACCTCCCTCACCTTCCCTCCGTCTACCTGTTATTGCCTCACCTCTCCCCTTCCCTTCACCCATGTCTAAGTAACTCGTCTTCCATGTTTCCTCTGTATTGTTTATCACCCCTTCTTATCTCCCTCTAATCCCCCTGCTTAATTCCCTTACTTCCCTCCCTTCCCCCAGCCCTCCCCACTCCCCCCTTACCTTCTCCCCTCCTTCCCCATCCACCTTCGTCTGTGACACTGCTTCCTTCCACCATCTACTTGCTTCACCTTGTCATTGTCTCAGGTAGATACAGGTATTCCGCTCACAGGTTATAGATGCTACGAGTAGTTGTGTATTGTACGGCTGTTGATAGGGGACACGACGTTACAGGTGTGTAGGTACGTGCATACTGTACAGGTGTGTAGGTCCGTGCATACTGTACAGGTGTGTAGGTCCGTGCATACTGTACAGGTGTGTCGGTCCGTGCATACTGTACAGCTGTGTAGGTACGTGCATACTGTACAGGTGTGTAGGTCCGTGCATACTGTACAGGTGTGTAGGTACGTGCATACTGTACAGGTGTGTAGGTCCGTGCATACTGTACAGGTGTGTAGATCCGTGCATACTGTACAGGTGTGTAGGTCCGTGCATACTTTACAGGTGTGTAGGTACGTGCATACTGTACAGGTGTGTAGGTACGTGCATACTGTACAGGTGTGTAGGTACGTGCATACTGTACAGGTGTGTAGGTACGTACATACAGGATTGTAGGTACGTAGTTACAGGTATGTAGGTGTGAGGGATGGTGTCTATATATGTGTGTGTGTGTTGTACGGGTGTGCTGAGGCAGGTGTGTACAGGTGTGTGAGGCAACAAGGACAAGTGAGTGTGGTTGCTCTCTCCGTCGTGATGAGTTCAGTGTTTGCTTTGACACACACGAGTAAACACCAGCTGACCGGCCGCCTCCCCTCTCCCTTCCAGGCCTCTCCCCATTCCTCTCCTTCCCTCTCCTCCCCCACACCCCCTCTTCTCCTACACCACCTCCCTAACACCCCTTTCCCCTATCTACTGTTTCCTTCCCCTCATTTCCATCTCCCTTTCCTCCCCAGTTACCCCCCCTTTCTAACGCCACCCCCCTTTCTCCCATTTCCCCCACCACCCCCCCTTTCACATCTCTGCCGCACTTAAATGTCAACTGAATGAAATTGAGAAAAAAATTTGATTTAAATTGACGAGGAGTAGTATGTATGTATGTATGTATGTATGTATGTATGTATGTATGTATGTATGTATGTATGTCCTTAATCCGGGGAAATTTTCCACGTGGTGTAAGGTCGACGAACTGGTGTTTTCATACTGTTTCCTGCACACTCCCGCTACCTACCTGCTCCACGCTCCTGCTACTTACCTGCTCTACACTCCTGCTACCTACCTGCTCTACACTCCTGCTACCTACCTGCTCCACGCTCCTGCTACTTACCTGCTCTACACTCCCGCTACTTACCTGCTCCACACTCCTGCTACTTACCTGCTCCACACTCCTGCTACCTACCTGCTCTACACTCCTGCTACTTACCTGCTCTACGCTCCTGCTACTTACCTGCTCTACACGCCTTTTACCTACCTGTTCCACCGACACACATAGTAGACCAAACACTGTGCAGCTTTGAGTTACAGCAGCGAGGTAGATTAAGTTAGTTTATGTTAGGTTAGGTTAGGTTAGGTTAGAGCTGTGGCAGGGCGGGTTAGGTCAGGTCAGTAATGATTCACTTATGTAAACTTTCCCAGGTTGAAAAGTACCAAAAACTGTATCAGGAAGACACTCGAGGCAGGAAGCAATGATCACACGTCATCATCATAATACCTGGTGGTCTTTTGCATGACCCAGACAGTAGAACCAAGACCAGCTGACGTGTCCCTGCCTGGTACAAGATATGGTGTGTGTGTGTGTGTGTGTGTGTGTGTGTGTGTGTGGGGTGTGTGTGTGTGTGTGGGTGTGTGTGGGGTGGTGTGTGTGTGTGTGTGGGTGGGTGGGTGCCAGGTACAGGTTTGGACACTCAGGTGACATGCACACACAGGTGACGCCTCATTACCCCCAACCAGCTACCTGTACTACTACCTGTGGTCTATCTCCCCCACCCCCTCCTCCTTTCTCAGGGGGGGCCCTTATTGTTTCCCTCCTATCTCCATCTACTTATCTCCCTCGTTCTGTTGTTCACCTATCCTCTCCCTCCCCTCACCCCTACTGTTCTCTCTCCCTCACCCCCTCCTCACCTGCCCTTCCCCCCTCAACCACTGACCACCCGCCACCACCTATACAAGTCTTGCTCAATAACCTCACAGTTCACACACATTGTACGTGACTGCGGGCGAGAGGATGACGGTGTGTTGTCTAAGAGTAGCAGAGAAAAGCGGTGGACACTTGATGATGATGGTGGGGGGGAGGCTTTGATAAATAGTGGGCAGCTCTCAACCCAAACCTCGAGAATGTGTTAAGGTGGTTGACTGGTTGACTACTCGGTGCAGGAGGTAGATAATGTGGTTGTATGTTGGTGAGAGTGACAGTTCATTCGGCTGCTGTGTTAAGTTTGGTAGTGTGTCAAGGTTGGGTGTTGGTATTTAAATGTTTCGTCACTCTGGGGGGGGCGGGGGTGTGTTAGTGCATGATAGGTTAAATTTAGGTGAATAAAGTGAAGGATTAACTTAATTGTGTGTGTGTGTGTTGGTCAGTTGAGTTACCGCCATGATTCAACTTGGTGTTTATACATTAGTTGAGATAGATTAAGACTGAATCCTCCCAGGGACGAAAATTTCAGGACGGAAACATGTGAAGCGGAACCGTGTAGTGTAGTGTAGGAGACCTAACACTGCAGCCGCCTGGTGAGGGTACGGCCCGGTGTGGGAAACTTCAACGCCTCACCGGACATTATCCTTGAAGTTGGTGACCGTACTGATAATATCAACGTCCAGCACTCATTGAATATTGTGCCTGTGTTGTGTTGTGATGCAGGGGGTGGAGGGGGTAGGGTCGTGGGAAAAGCGTGTCATACTTTGACAGGTGGTGGCCGGACCCCTTGTTAGTGGCTCGCTACCTGGGCCACCAACCTGTAAAGGGAAGTAAATAACGTTTCCTGTTTTTTTTTACCTGGTGTTTACGTTAAGACTCGCGCTGTAACGTTCCTCTTAATGAGTCTTTAGTCTCCTCGTCCTTGTTAAAGTTACAATAATACTCTCCATCTGTTCTTCAAAAGTTATACAAACAAGAACATTAATCTCACTTCCTGTGTTGTATTTTGTTCTTCACACCGAGATTCATAACTAAATCTCCTGTACCACACGCTGTATTTTCTTCTGATCACCGACTGAACTTTCTGTAACAGCCATGACAATAGTACCAGGAAGTGGGAATATTGTTCGTAATTTCTGTACATCTCGTCATTATATACGTGTTACTGTACAGTTTTCTTTACTAGTTAACCTTGTCACAGTAACACAAGAAATATAACATTATATTTCTTAATGTCAGTCAATCATGTGTCCTGTGTGAGTGTGTGTGTGACCTTTGACCTAATGTATTCATCTTTTGAGGGTCAGTAAGTGGGTTTTTTCCAAGCATGTACTTGTGGTTGGTATTTAGGTGTTGTGTCGATGACGTGTCTGTCTGTCTGTCTGGGGTCAAGTGGAGATGAAAGGTAATGATAATTTATTCCCAGCATCTTTCTTTACTAATTATTATCTAACCATTAATTGTTTTAGAGATGATGATGATGTATTAACGTATGTATGTATGTCTCCTCACAGGGTCATCTTGAGGTGGAAAGCGATACAGCCTTTAGGTTAGCCGCCCTCGCTATCCAGGCCAGCTACGGCGACTTCGCACAGTAAGTATCATGGCCCCTTCACCTCCCCACGCTGGCACCGATATCACCAATGAGATACCCGTTGTTATTATTAGTTAGTTAGTTTTTAATGGTAAAGAAATAGGGTTGACGATATTTTAGTCACCTGCCATAATGTAAACACTAAGACCTGTTTGTTATTGTTTACATACAGTGAGTCTGGAACACACACTCAGCTGAAGAAAACTCAACTAATCCCGACCAACGTGATCCGTGACCACCCGTCCTTGCAGTACTGGTGAGTATAGTGACTTGTAGTGTGGCATTATACAGTATAGTGACTTGTAGTGTGGCATTATACAGTATAGTGACTTGTAGTGTGGCATTATACAGTATAGTGACTTGTAGTGTGGCATTATACAGTATAGTGACTTGTAGTGTGGCATTATACAGTATAGTGTCTTGTAGTGTGACCCCATATACTGTACCCTTATGCCGGTGTGGCTCTCTATACAGTAACCCTGAATAGTCCCTTATAATACAACCGTGTAGGCTACCTTTATACAGTACAGGACTAGTGAGTGGCCTGTATCCTGTAGTCTACAACCTTTTAGCCAGTGTTGTAGTACAGTCACAGCTACAAGGAACTGTATTGAGACTCTGCAAGGTTGTGACAGCTAACGCCAGGGTCCCACATCACCCCGGAACGTTTTTCAACCCGTATTTATGACCAGCCATTCTATATAACCCTTCCGTCAACCACCATTAATAAACATGTATTTTACGTTTCTTTCCGCTCCCCTCCCTCCTACCCCTCCTTAGTGTTTCCTATAGGCCCTGGGCAACAGTGTCTAGGCCTATGAGGGTGTGTGGTAGGTTCGTGTTTAGCGGGGAATAACCGTGGAATGTTTTGCTTATTGTGAGGGAGTCTGGGGTAGTTTATGCGTGCCGTGCAACGTTGGGCCAACAGGGGGTGGTTCCTGAGGCTCCCAGACCGGCCATTTGAGATGACTTTATGATGCGGGTTTTATATTATTTGCCTACGCTTATTTTCAGTGGACAATGGTAGTAGCCTTCTGTCTCACCTTCCTCCCTACCTCCCCCATTCCTTCCTTTCCGTTCTCTCGTCTTGGTTGCTTTCCCTCTCTCCTCCCTCCCCTTCTCTTCCTCCCCCATCGTTGACGGGGTGGGGCCTCCGGTGGGTTTGGGGGGGGGAGGGTCGGTGGCTGTAATATTAGCATAATAGATCTCATAGCGCGGCCAGATGAATTTTTATGGAGGCTGTGTAAGACTGGTTTGTGATGTATGTGTGTGTGTGTGTGTGTGTGTGTGTGTGTGTGTGTGTGTGTGTGTGCTGATATTTATTTTTGGAAACTTAACAAAACCCCCCCAATAAACTACACTGTATTTCATAATTTCTGAAATTAATTTAAACGTCACACAAACACCACTTTTTATAAATAGTTAAGTATCGTTTAGTGAGACTTGTATTAGATGTATTGGGTTAAATAGTGTGTAGTGAATTGAAATTATCCTCCTTCCCTTCACTCACCTCCCTCCCCCCTCACTCTCCCTTTCCCTCACTCTCCTCCTCACCCCCTCACTCTCCCTCCTCACCTCACTCCTCCTCTCCCCTCACTCTTCCACCTCACCCCCCTCACTCTCCCCCCTCACCTCCCAATCACAAGTTGAGGGATTAAGATCAGAAGGACTGAGGGGCAGTTTGTATGTCCCAGCACGTTGGTCAGCGGTGGGAGGTGAGGAACACAGGTGAAGGTGCTGTGGTGTGTGTGTGTGTGTGTGTGTGTGTGTGTGTGTGTGTGTGTGTGTGTGTGTGTGTGTGTGTGTGTGTGTGTGTGTGTGCGCGTGTGTGCGTGTGTGCGTGTGTTTTTTTCAAGACCCCCCGGCATCAGGTTGAATGGTTGTGGTATATTGTCATCATTCTTCTCTTCATTGTATGTTTAATTCACCATCATCTTCCTCACCATTTCCATTGTTATTATTATCCTCCTCTTCCTCCACCTCCCTTTCTTACTTCCTTCCCCTCCTCCACCTACTTCTTCTCCTTCCACCTGACCCTCCCTCCCCCGACTTAGACCTCATCTGCCCAATATTTCTGATACTAACTAGGCCCCCATGAGGCGGCCGGTTGCTCGAGACGGCCATTATCCACAAGTCTTTATGGCCATTTTTCCTCAGGTCTCTATTAAGGGCTTTTGTTGGTGTAGCCTAGGGCCCCTCTCCCCCCTCCACGCTGGATGGAAGAAAAATCTGCATACGCATATAAATTTCTGATGAGATGGTCGTTCTTTTCTCATCTCCCCTCCCTTTCCTCCTCCTCTCCCTCGTCTTCCCTCATCTCCTCCTCCCCCCTCTTCCTCATCCCTCTCTTCTCCTCCTTCCCCTCTTCTTCCTCATCTCCTCCTCATCTCCCTCTCTTCTTCCTCCTCCCCCTCGTTCCCTCATATCTCCCTCCCTCTCTCTCCTCCTCTCCTCTCATTACTTCAAGAGTCCTAAATCTACACTCGAGAAATCTCTGCCACGTCTTCCCTAAATCTCCTTCCTCCATCTTAATCCTCCTCCAATGCCTTTCTATTTTCTCTTTCTTGTTAAGTCTCCTCCCCCCTCTCTCTCTCTCCTTCCTCTGTTCTCCAAACCCTCCCAGAATCCCTTTCCTTCAAGCCCATCCTGAATTCCCTATCTCCCTTTCCTCTCCCCCCCCTCCCTCACTTTCCCTCCTTCAATTTCCCTCCTACCACACCTTTCCTCTTTCTCCTCTCCTTTCTTCCCTTCTCCCTCCTCCCCAATCAGAGAATATTTTAAGTGGCGGTGACGTGATGTATGCTATGGTCGCCCCCTGGCTCAGTTTTGCACCAGATAACTGGCCGATATCACAGCTGTTTTGCCGTATGAGGAGAGTACAGTAGGTACTTCAGGTGGTATTGTGGTTGTGGGGGTAGTAGTAGTAGTAGGTATAATGGTGGTAGTGGTGTTGTACGTTGGTGGTAGCTGTAGTGGTGTTTATAGGGATAGTTATAGTGATGATGGTAGTAGACACGGTATAATAATGCTAGTGGTTGCTTAATGGTGATGGTACAATGGTGGTAGTGCCTCTTGCTGGTGGAAACTGTGATGAATGTAATGGCAGTATCGGTCACCTGATCCCAAACCTTTGCTAGTGAACATTTAAGAACAGTAAGCCCCACCATGATAGCATGATATGATAGACACATAACAGACTGACTCCCACAGGGGTAAAACTGAACTCTACCTGGTGTCTGTAACTGCTAAGACACGAGAAGTTAACAGTTTTAATGGATGACTTGTGAAAGACTTGAAAGAAAACTGTTGTTGGGTTGGTTACTGTGTGGGTGGGAGAGGGAGGTCAGTGGGTGGGGGGCAGTGTGTGGGAGGCAGTGTGTAGGTGGGTGGGGAAGTCAGTGTGGGTGGGGGGATGCCTTCGAAGACTCCTTGAGATAATTGTCGTCGGAAATTGGAATCTTCGATTTGTTGGGTGGAAGAAATTATGAGTGGATGTTGGTGGATGAACGTGAAGAAGATTGACTGGGAGGTGGATGAACGTGAAGAAGAATGACCAGAGGTGGTGGCTGGCGGGGTGAACGTGATCCTTCTTGGTGTTACTTACAGTCAGTGATGAACACGTGGGGTGGAGGTAACCCGAGTCGCCTCTTCCTCCTCGTGGCCTCTACCTTAGAACTTTGTCTCGACCTCTCTAACCTCTACCTGTATACTCGCCCTCCAGGTATGCCCTTTTACCTACCACCACCCATACATTCTCTAACCACCACCACCATCACCACAACACGCCAGCAGCCTCCAGAAGCTGTGTATTGTATTGTTGTTCCCTTAACAATTAAGCGTTTAATCTCCAAATGTGATATCAGGAAGACCCTAAAATACACACACGCGCGGGGCACCTTAATTAATTATGGCTTGCGTCCCCCACACACACACATCGTCATCGAGAGTTACCACGAGTCACCGGGAGTTACCACAGTCGCCAAGAGTCACCGGGAGTTACCAGGAGTCACCAAGAGTCACCGAGAGTCGCCATAGGTCACTAAGTCACCACTCTGTGTTCCGGTCTACTCACCATCTGATTGATACAGTCATCGGGCCTGAATCACTTGTCGTATGTCAACTGTTATGAATCAGCTGTCACGAGTCACGTGTCATTCATCTGCTGTTAAGAATCGCCTGTCAGCGTGTTAAAAATATGTATCACGACCGTGGGCTGTGTGGCAATCTTTATCAGAGGTGGACGACAGCCCTCACGACGCGGCGTTTGCTTTTACCTTTTCTTCCACCACCAACTTCATGGCGTACAGTATATCAGCACTTATATTGACGTTGATACCTCCTTACATGCCAGGTGTGTGTGTGTGTGTGCGCGCGCTTCATAGGTTGGCGTGGAAACCTCACGTAGTTAGTGACTGGGCAGAGGGCGTATAATAACGGGTCCTCGTGATACTAGGACCTGGTGGGAACTTGCTGACGTGTACAATTAACTGTTCCAGTATACGTGGCCCAGTTGACCCCCCACCCCTTCTTGTCCCCCCTCACCCTCTCCTGGCCATGAAAACAATTAGTCATCACATTTTAGTTTATTTTACAGAAAACAAAAAATCATAAAAAAGTAGAAACAAAATCTTCAGGCAGTGGAAATTCGCGCCAGATCACTTTTATGTACGAATATTTATGATGATAATTCCCCCGTTTTTATACAAAGGAGAATGAGTGTCTGTTTGTGTTTTATTTATAATCGTGAGAACTATTTATGTCAACTTTTTATTTAATCAAACTTTTCAAATATTTTACAGTAAAAATTGAATCTGTTGAGGAGAGTGAATGATGACGTCAGTACTTGTTTATTCACCCCTTAATCGGCTCCATTTATCTGTGTCATTGAATCTGGAAAGGTTTGCCATGGCGTAAGCTTTGGCCAACCACAGCTAAGACCCCCAACCACAGCTAAGGCCCCCAACCACAGCTAAGGCCCCAACCACAGCTAAGACCCAACCACAGCTAAGGCGTCACCACTGAGAATGACAATTGTGTTGGGTTTTGTGGTCGATGGCCGGAGCTCCGTTGTGTTGAAGGTTCTCACCGATTGTGTATGGAGTGTAGTGGGGGGGGTCCGTGTCCCTCCCTAGGTAAAGTGGCGTCATTAGTACCTGTCTGACGGAGAGGACCACGACCAGCTGTGTGTATGTACAGGTATGTATGTATGTATGTATGTGTGTATGTACAGGTATGTATGTATGTATGTGTGTCTGTGCAAACCTCAAGTCCACTAGATTGAAAGGCCATGTTTTGGGTAGAGGACGGTGGGGGAAGATCATTTAGTAAGGTAAACTAAAAACTACCTTATATTCTGGTCTTTGTGGTAAGAGTATTAATTCCTAGCTGCAGTAGATCACCTAAAATTAGACACCCCAGTTTATTTCACCTGAAGATTAATCACCCCAACGCTACCTGGGAGAGGGGAGGTAAAGTTAGGTTATATTGGATTAGGCTCTACTGTTAATCACTACTGGAGTGCCGTACGTCAGGTGGTGATGGTGATGCTGCCCTGGTAGGTCTTCAGGAACCACAATTTACTTTTAATACAAACAACTAAATACTGATTGATAAACACGATCCAGTGAAGGCAGCTGCTGAATGAATGGCCCCGAGAGAGGTTAATATGGTGACCTGGCATTTGTGGAGGTGAGGGAGGTCACGAGGCCGCCAGCCATCATGTGTGTGGCCTCCAGCCTCCAGGAGAGCAGCATGACAGTGTATTGTTCCTCCAGGGGCTCCCACGGCCCAGCTCCTCGGCCTTCAACACCTGCTGCCTCTCCTCCCTCACCCACCTCCCTACAACCCTCCCTCCTCTCTTCCTCCTTCCTCCCCTTCTCCTTCCTTCCTTCCTTCCTTCCTCCCTCCTCCCATCTTCCCTCCTTCCTCCTCCCTTCCCTCCTCCTTCCTCCCTCCCTTCCCCCTTCCCTCTATTCCTTCCTTCCTCCTCTATTCCTTCCTTCCTCCTCTCTTCCCCTCCTTCCTCTCCTTGTCGTCCATCTTCTTCCCCTTCAATTATATTAATCATTTGCAATATTGTGTTACTGTAATTAATAAGACATTAGTGCTAGCCATTATAGACACATTACTAGCATGATAATGACACTAGTTACTCTACTAGGTGTAATTATAGCACAATACTGTACAATAATAAAACCAACCTCACTGAAACCATTATGAGTTACAGTGGTTTTTGTGATTAGTAATACTGTTTGTTACAATAAATTTACCGTTTGTTAAAATAAAGCTGCCAGTTTTTGTAATGGTTAATTATTTTGTTAGTTAGAATGAAACCTGTTAGTTAATTAGTTACTTTGTTGCAGTGAGGAGCGGGTAGCAGAGGATCACCGCCGCCTACTGGGATATTCTCGAGGCCAAGCAATACTACAGTGAGTATAACAATCTCATATGTCACAAATATACTGTATGACCGAGTGTATGGTAAGTCGGAATGAAAGAACAGGTATATTAAGAACTTGTGTTCCTTTATGTAGTGTGTGTGTGTGTGTGTGTGTGTGTGTGTGTGCGGTGTGCGTGTGTGTGTGCGTGTGCGTGTGCGTGCGTGCGTGCGTGTTATTACAGCACCTCACCTCACGATACACATGTCATCCCATTACACACCATATCCATATACACCACAAACAGTAGCCACAGCCACACCCCATGCAGTACTGCACGGCCAAACCCAGTAAAGTACACACTGTACACACACACACAGCACTGTACTGTACACAGCCACACACAGTACTGTACTACACAGCCAACACACAGCACTGTACTGTACACAGCCACACACAGTACTGTACTGTACACACACACACAGTACTGTACTGTACACAGCCACACACAGTACTGTACTGTACACAGCCACACACACAGTACTGTACTGTACACAGCCACACACAGTACTGTACTTTACACAGCCACACAGTACTGTACTACACAGCCACACACAGTCTACTGTACTGCAAGACACACACAGTACTGTACTGTACACAGCCACACACAGTACTGTACTGTATCAGCCACACACAGTACTGTACTGTACACAGCCAACACAGCACTAACAAAGTCAACATGTACTGTACTGTACACAGCCACACACAGTACTGTACTGTACACAGCCACACCAGTACTGTACTGTACACAGCCACACACAGTACTGTACTGTACACAGCCACACACAGTACTGTACTGTACACAGCCACACACAGTACTGTACTACACACAGCCACACACAGTACTGTACTGTACACAGCCACACAGTACTGTACTGTAATACAAACACAGCACAGCCACACACAGTACTGTACTGTACACACACACACAGTACTGTACTGTACACACACACACAGTACTAGCCACACACAGTACTGTACACACACACACTGCACTGTACTCAGCCACACACACAGTACTGTAATACAGCCACACACAGTACTGTACACAGCCACACACAGTACTGTACACAGCCACACACAGTACTGTACACAGCCACACCCAGTACAGTACACAGCCACACCCCGTGTAGTACTGTACATGCTTATTATCTTAACACTTAATTCGTTCACCTACATCTCTTTAAAAGAAACAATTCGCCCCATAAGGTGTACTGGTCACGATAAACAGTGGCAAGAGCTCCAATAATATACTACTATACTTGTGTTATTATGGTAAGGAAAAAATGGCAGTCATAATTAGAAGTAAGAGTCACACTGTGCGGGATTTCAATGCCAGATCAGCAAGTGAGCATAATATATGGATTTATTTCATTGGCTGCATCCATTGTCCTTCATCACAGCTTGGGAGTCTTGCCTCATTTTTAGCCGTGCGCTGACCAAACCTTTCCTCCGCTTCTCCTGCAGTTCCCCTTCTTTCTACTCCCGCTCTCTCTCTTAACTATTGCATCTTCTTGTTTATACAGATCTTTGTCTGTCAGCAACAAATCCTACCCTGCAGCCAGAATTAAAATGGCTTTCCCTGATCCAGATTCTTCACTCAGTGTATCATTAGAGTAGCTGGTATAATCTTACATGTCCTCATCACCTCAGTCAAATATTCATCAGTGCCATCCCCTAGTTCAAGGTGTGTGTATGTGTGGGGGATACAGCATTTATATCGTCTGTGTTTTTATGGACATAAATATTATTGTTCATTAATGGATGAGGTGTTGTATCTCCAAATATAGTTTGATAAAATGGTGTATACCACTTAGGAACTCAGCTTACAGGACGTGCGTGTAACTAAGGTACTTATTTACATGCTGGTCCCATGGGGCCCCTGGCCCTGGTAGGCCCACTGGGACGACCTGACCCTGGTAGGACCCCTAGGGCACCCTGGTAATCCTATGGGGGCCCTGGCAGCACCCCTGGGACACCCTGGTAGTCCCATGGACCCTTGGCCTTAGTAAACACCCTGGGGCCCCCTCGTAGTCCCCTGACCCTGGTAATCCCACGGTACCTCTGGCCCTGGTAGTTCCCTTGGCCCACTGGCCCTGGTATAGTCCCTGGGGCCCCTGGCCCTAGTAGTCCCATGGGACCCCTGGCGGGGTCCTTGGTAATCCAATGAGACCCATGGGCCTGGCAGGGCCCTGTCCGGGCCACTGGGGGTATCCTGTTAGTCTCATGGGGCTCCTGGCCCTATTGTCCACATGGAATCCTGGCAGGCCCCCTTGTAGTCCCCTGTGTTCCCCTTGATAATTCCATGGAGCCTCTGGCCCTGGTTGTACCATGGGACCCCTGGCCGGGCCCCTGTTAATCTGCTTGGCCCTGGTAGGGTCCCTGGGGACCCCATGGCCTTGGTAGGGCCTCGGGACCCTTGGTCCTAGTAGTCCCATTTGGGCCCCTGGTCTTGTCAGGGTCCCTAGGGGGCACCTGTTAAGTTTTATGGATCCACTGACCCTGGTAGGGTCCCTGAGGGCCCCCTGATAGTCCCATAGAACCATGGTTGGCCCCATGGGAGCCCCCTTGTAGTCCCCTGGCCCTGGTAGTCCCTGGGGACCCCCTGGTAATGCAGTAAACACTTCCATTTACATTCAAGGTTGGGCTATTCTTGATTAATAGTGTTTACTGCATTCCATGTAGCAATTGTAATGGAAATTATGTAGGACAGACTGGGAAAGCATTGCAACTCAGAATTAAACAGCACAGGTACAATATTATATAAGTGTGCATATGGGGGATTATGAGTGAATCATAGCACTTCTCTCACACTCTGCTAGTTGCCCCGTTTTGTTGTTCTTTAGTCTTCACGCTACCATGTACATACATTGGACAGGCGTGACACTCACACACAAAACTTTTACAACAAATATCTTCAAAATAAAACAAATCCCACTTCGATATCATTATTGGTTGTGGAGTAACAAACGAAAAACTTTAGACGCTTGTTTCTCACTTTTTAAAAAAATGGTGCATGCGGGCTTGTGAGTCTAAGACCTTAGAATCACAAGGCTGCAAGCTCTGTATATACAGGGTATACAGTATGTATTAGGTTATGTATATATATGTATTAGATTATTTCAAAGCTCATTAATTTACACTCATTACTCTAATTTTAAGATTTAGTACCTAGATCCTTAACCAGCATATAAATAAGTACCTTTGAATGAATTATGAACAAAATCCACGTTTTATCTCATATGCCATCATTTTCATGATAAAGTGCCCTTTCTCTGGAAACTGGAAACTGAAAACTAATATGTTTAAAGCGTAAAGATAGTTTATATAACTGAGAAAATGTATTTAGGCACTCCCTGGGTTACATACGAGTTCCGTTCCTACCGTATTTACAGAACCATGTTTAAAATCTCACTATATCATAGCCTAAGTCCTTACATACATGTACATCTAAAATCACTTAGTTTAAGAGAATAGAAGAAATAGAATGACAAAATACAGTAATTGAAAGTAAAAAATAAGTCATCAAGTAAATAAAATACTGTAAATTTAAAGTTTAACTTTATGGGACCTTGTTCGTATTAGTGGATGTTCGTAAGTCAGACGTACATAACCCGTGGACCTCCTGTACTGTGTTTGACAAGTGAAAGTTATTATGGTAGGTATCTTTGTGAGTTTATAGTTACCTGTACAAGAACAAATACAGTATATTCAGTACAGGTATTACAAAAGGCATCCGTAGTGTATACAGTATTGTACATACCGGTAGATATTTTTTGTAATTTTTTTATTATCTTTTATGTAAGAAACCTATATGGGAGTCTGTTTTGACGTGGGAATGTTTATTAAAGGTATATGAGCTTGGTGGAGCGACTACCTACCTACGGCATCCACTACTACGAAGTGCGGGACAGATCTAATCTTCCGTGGTACCTGGGCCTCAGTCACAACGGGATCGCACAGTACGACTTCCTCGACAAAAGAAAACCTCGACGAGTCTTCCTTTGGAAACAGTTGGAAAACCTGTACTTTCGAGAAAGAAAATTTTCCATAGAAGTTCATGATCCAAAAAGGTGAGTTCCTTATTTTTGGGGTATTTTAGAAGAATGAATTAGAATAAGTTAGGAATGTAATTAATACTTGATGTGGTAACAAGTATCAATTCATTACTAACTTTGACAAAGAAAGACTCATTGGCTATCCGTGGAAGAGTTGACCTGGCTGCCTTGGCTACTTGGCAGTGTGTGAGAATGTCTCTTCTACAGCAGCATTATAGCTGCTGTGCCTGCGCTAGTCAGCTTCCAATCTGCTACTGTATCACTTTACCTGCTATCTCTTATATTTGTTCAAGTCTGTAACAAACACATGAATATTAATCAACCCTCATATATTTGAGTGTTGATGAAAAGTTCAACTTGAATTTGCTTTTACAAACATAATACAGTACTGTATATACCATTCTGAAGTATCATTCACATACACTCATGAAGTCCTTTTCGTAATCACTCAAGTGTGATTTTATTCTGGCTTTTTAAAATGTCCCGTGTCAGTCTTAAAATCCTCCCGCTTCCTAACACACCTGTTTAGACTTTCTCTCTTGTTCCCCACACCTACATATTTTCTTGCTCTTTGTATTATACTCGTAATAAGCTTTTGAGTTATTCAAAATAAAATAATAAAAACTTAAATTGTGCGTATTGCTAAATAAAATTGCTTTTATGATTGAAATAACAAATAAGTACAGCAATATTTTGTACAAAATATAATCATCTCTTGCAAAATTCCTACCACATACAGTACAGTATATATCAGTGTGTGATACAGCTCTCTGATGGTAAACACTATTTTTCAGCACACACACAAATCAGCTTTCATCATTAACCCTTCTTTAGTCATCAGTACCCATGGGAGAGGGAATTCATTAGCTACGGTAACATCCTTTTAAAGGCTCCTCAGCTACATTGGAGGTTTTCTTGTAACTAGAGTTCTCTCTCTCACCCCTTGCCACTCTTGCATCTTCTGCTAGGCAGAGAGAGGGGTACAGTATTGAAGTAGTGATAGGTGATCAAAGAGAATATTTAGTACTATTTTATTAGTCATTAGGTTTGATATTTTGCTTCATAGTTCTAATCATGTTTCCTGAGATGCTTTACCCTGTTTATCTGACACTCTTAGTAGATATGTTTGGAAATGCATATTACTGTACAGTACAGTACTGGTATTAGTTCTCTTTCCACAATACATTATTTTTAAGAATTAATATGATAGAAATTTTATATAATATAATTAGTGGATGTTAATGACACTGTACTCTTAATATTTAGCTATAGTATTAACAATTCACAATGTAAATATTCAATTGGGAAAATTTTCAAAATAAAAATACTTCTCTCAAAATGAGCGACTTCATAGTCTCTTAGATATTGATTATTGCTAAATTTAGGTCATGGTTAGTAATCTGAAAATCTATTAATCATAAAGGTTTTGTAACTAAGAAATGTCACTGTGATGAAGTTAGTTTTCCAAAATCTTGCTTACTATGAATCCCCATTACTAGTTATTATAATCATAGCCTGAGCAATTAATACCCTGTTGTTGCAATGTTGTGTTTTTATTACAACCAACATACTTCAACTTAAAGCAGCTGCAGCTTGACTTAAATATTTCATAGTAAATTTTTTCATTGAATCTTGAATGCTGTTATGCTAATTGTGAAAAGTGGAGTGCCCTGCAAGCAGTTGGTGAGTTAGTGTATAAGTTGTGTGTTGTTGGCATGGTGTTGTGATGCATGGTGTTGTCTTGTCCGAGTAGAGTGGTGCACACCCTGAGCTCGTTTAACCTGTACGAGGATGCAATTGAAGACTCTCGCGATCACCACCATGACGACCTGCTAGCAGCCATCACTGAGGCCACCACACAGTAAGTCATGAGCAGTTGTTTGGTTTCTTTCTGCCTTTTTTTCTTTACACATTTTACATTAATAACTATGAAAGAGCTGTGAAAGATGTGAACAGAGAAGCCTACCAGTAGAGTATATGAAAAATAATTAAAAAAGAACTATACGTATATACAGTATTACCCCGCCTAACGCGGTTTCACTTAATGCGTTTTATCATATACGCGGTGCCTCCCAGAGCTGAACTTTCACTTAACACGGATTTTTTCCACATATACGCGGTGAGTGTCCGGCTCGAGACGCTATTTTTAGATTTGCCCCACCCGCCACCCTGCCTGTTTTAGCTCATAAAATTCATACAAATTACCCGGCCAGAATATAATTTACATTGCTGGAATTCTTATAATTTGGTGATCATTTTGAATATAAACATCATATATTTTGCATTAAACATACAATTTTAGATAAAAATTTTTTCTCTAGGTAACTATGTTATCTTTTGTGCAAAATATATGACATTTATATTCAAAATATTCCTGGTCTTACAAGGAATCCAGCAATGTCAATTGTATTATCCTAACTTTAGTTTGAGGTATTATTTATTAAAATTTAGTGGTTTTCCCCCAAAAATTTCTCTGAGAGGGAAGAGCCAGTGAGTGTAGTGTGAGAAGAGGGGGAGGGAGTTGAGTCCATTATTTGAATGGACATTAACTTGGCGACTGTATTTCTCTATTTCTCTTAAGTATTAATTGTGTGCATGTACCATCATAAAATTAAGATGTTATTTTTACTACAACATAGGTATGTGCCTTCAAAAAGTGGAGTTTGGGGGTCGGGCCGGTTTCTATTGGAATTAATCCCATATGTTCTGTTGTTCACTTAACGCGGATTTCACTTAACGCGGGACCCTCTGGGTTCAATTGACCGCGTTAAGTGGGGTACAACTGTAGTGTACAGTACACAACTCGGTTCAGTTGTACCAAATTAGAATGATCGTTCCACATTATTACTTTACTTAATCATTACATATTCTTATATTGATCCTGTGTCTTGCAGAGTATCGGTGTCAAGAAGAACGTTTGGCCCTGGCAACGTTAGTGTTTACGTTTGGTTTGCAGAGACCCAAGCGCTCTGCAAAGCAATCTGGTCCATGGCGATCGCACAGCATCAGTTCTACCTCGACCGTAAAACCTCCAGGGTACGGTAATCCTATGTTGTTAGATAATTGGTATAGTATAGTACAGTATGTGGTAGTCTTATATTTAACAAACTTGTACAGTTGTAGAATTTTTTAACCCATAAAATAGCAGCATCAACTAAAAAGAAAGTTTTGTAAGAAAAAGAAATTAGTCTGCATCTTTAAAAGTTCCTCAACTTTTCTAAGAAAACTAAGAAATTCATTGACTTCCACAACAGATTTTTTTCCCTGACCTTTCCACCACTTTCCAGTTTGGGGACAACTTGTATATTAGGTTTGTGATATGGAAAAACACATGAAAAGATTTAGGGAAGACAGAAGTAAGAGATTGCTGTTATAAAGCCTTCTGTGTTACTGCTAGAAATTATTGGACTTAATTATCAATCTCTTGAGAAGTTTATATTTTTATCTTTGATGACTTTTTACAGAGTGAGGCATCTGGGGTGCGGGAACTTCCAGAGTTGGCTGTAGAGTTATCTCGCAGCTGTGTCTCTCTCTCCACTCATTCCTCCTCGTCAAACCTTTCTAGATCTGGATCACATTCATCTCTGGTGAACAACTCACTTGCAGGTAAAGATACTGTTAGAGGGGATAAGGTCAGAGGTTTAAGAGAATGCAATGTGATTTTTAAGAGATTTTAAGTACAGCTCCTCCCCGACTTACGACGGGGTTAGGGACCCAAATCCAGGTCGTAAGTCGAAAATGCTTAAATAATACATAGAAAATCTAAAATGGGTGTCTCTTTTTCTTCTCAGCACCACAAAACTCTCTCTTTTAAGCTTGCCAGCCATATTAAAGTGAATTACAAACGAAAAAAATTTCAGTACACAGCGCAATCACTGACGTTGGGACTCGACAATATGTAATTTGACATAATTTTGGTACGACTGAGGCGGTTGTAAGTCTGGGTGGTCGTAAGTCGAGAAGGTCGTAAATCGGGGAAGAGCTGTAATACTATATACCGTAGTTGCTAATTTGAGGAATAGGGATTGTTTTAATGTTGGCAAAATACTTACTGGCTACAATGTTGGTGGCAGACATTGAAATTGATAGTCTTTGGTTGAAATAAACCCCCTCGATTCCCTTATAATGATTTATCCTGAAATTACCTGTACATAAACTAAGACTTTCCACTTTGTCTTCTTAAGGTGGTGTGAATACAGTAAACAAATTAATAATAAATCTTTGATTAGCTATATTTTGACTAAAGAATCCACATTTTTCAACAGAAGACAGTGCCAGCACAGAGAGCCTCCACCAAGCCAGGATGGAGATGCACAGTGCTCTCAAGCAGCGTCGAGATGCACTGCAGGAGAAGATCAAAGAAAAGGAAGAGGAACTGAGGTTACTGTGTTTACGTGAAGGAGAGCTAACTGGAGAGTTGCCTCCTGAATACCCTTTGACACCTGGACAGCCGCCACCCACCGTACGCAAGAGAGTCGGGACGTCATTTACTCTTAGCGAAAATCTTATTAACAAAATCATTAATAAACAGGTAATGGATTTCTTCCCCAACATTGTGCACAGGTTAAGCCATGTTTAGAGGAGTTGGTACTCTAGCCACCATGTTTGGAATGTGAAAATAAGTTTGAAAATATCATATTTTAATAAATGTGAAAATCTATATATCAGTGACAGTGAATATCATACAATTTTAATGATAAAAAATTAATGTATGTTTTAATGGTACTGTACTAACATATTAAACTATTCCCCAGGAGGAGACAGTAGCAGCATTAGAATTAGAATATGAAATTCAGGGCAAAATAACCAGTGCTGCTCTAAGATTAGCAAACGAGACATCGACACGGAAAGGATTTAGAAAGCAGCGCAAGATGACGTACCAGCAATCAGCTCAGCGGTTAAAAGACCTCGAACATAAATTGAAAGCTGCCAAGTCCAAGCAGGCAGCAACAGCCAGCAGTATACCAAAACAGAAGAAAAAGCCTCGACCTGTATCAGACAGTGAGGGTAAATAGAAAAATCTTTGTATGTAATGGATGTTCAATATACCATTTATATTTGTATACTTTTAGATAGCCTCTATTGATATGAGTTTCAACTAATAACTTCTTTCCATTCCCATAGATGCAACAGGCACACCAAGCACCTTAAGAAAATATAGATACAGTACTATACATATTTTTTATAAGAGGTTACACATAGGGAGATATATTTTCATCATTAATAAAGAGCATATACCTCTTGTTAGTGAACTCATTTTACTGCAATGCATACCAGGATTACTGGAGGGAGTCTTTCACTCAAGGATTCTTCACTTGCAAGGCAAATGCTCAACCTCTTAAGTGTGGAGACAGGAAGTACTGTACTAATATTACCCAATCTTTCAGGTGTGGGCAGTTATGATGAGAACACAAATCCAAACAATACAACTGTCACCAGTAATCAAGACTCTCCACGGGACAGCTTACGAGATCCTCATCGTGACACTCTCAATGTAGAGGGAGTAAGTCTTTCCCCGGCACCTTCCACTCATCCTCCTGTGTCACCGCGTTCTCCCATGCTTCCATCCACCCCCGTAAGAGCAAGAGCGAGAAGGGACCTATCACCAGGCGGTCATCCCATAGCTTCAGCCGGCATTCACTCTGCACCGACAAGTCCTCACAAGCAACCAAATGGATCTGTATGCTCAAGAGCAGCCAGTCCTAACAGACCTCACAGGTTTGTAAATGCAAATAGACATTTCGATGGTTATTTAATATTTATGATTCAAAAGGAAAATTTTTACATAATACAGTTACACTCTGAATTATCATTGGATCTTCAGGCTTAGACAATATGAAGTTTGCAGTGTGATTAAATAAAATACCTGAACATAAGACTGATTAGCCAAAATCTCTAATCTTGACTTCGTTGCTGAACCCAAGCCTCACTTGTATTGTACATTACTGCATATATTTTGCAAGGACAGATTCACAAGCTATTATCGCGTTGCATTTACAGTGGCTACATTCCCAGCTCCGTCTATACAAGGAGTCAGTACCGCAGCCAACAGTATCCGACCCTCTCCACGCGATCACAGTCAGTCCCGGCGGATGAGGGTCGGGTCCCACACCCACGGACTACCAACGGGACATATCCAGTACCAGACCCGGGCATCGTCGAGACTCCTGGAGGTCTCTACAACATCCCACAACAACGCACTTCCCTTGCTTGTCATAGTGTGGATGACCTGGACACCACAACCCTAATCAACAACACACCCCAACACCATAACCATCACCAACCTTACAGACAGAGAAATGACTCTCAGGATAGGTGCGGATGATACACTGCCTTGTCTTTATGTAGCATGATTTTGTCTTTTGTTCTCTTTAGACAATGCAAACCATTCCTTGCTATAAGATGTCATTTATGTATTTCTGGCATGGTTATTCTCAGTGTTAGTATTTTCATAATTTAGTATTTGCTTTATTTTTTACTCCTTTCAAAGTACAGTACTGTATAAATATATAATTTTTAACTAAGATATAATAATTTTTTTTATATAAATATAATTTTTTTTTTACACTTGAAGAAATCGTGTCTTATGTCACAGCATTTAATTTTATGACTTACAAGCACATGTAATACAATTACTGACTGTTTCATGATATGCGTCTGGCTAATATAGCTTAATAAGCTTGCATGTTTTATTTAATGCTTATCACCAAAAATGCTTGATAGCAAAGGCACTTGATTTCTTCATGGTGTTGTAGATTGAGTATAACTTTTGTTTAGTTCTTATTTTTATTTTTTCATTAGTCACATCTCTGTGGATTTAGTCTAATGTTTCATTAGCTAAATACCAGAGAGAGAACACTTTCAAAATGCATGATGGTTGTTAATAGATCATCAGACGTTTTGAGCCAGGAAGCTTTGGTAGTTATTAGCTGATGTTTTCTCCCTTCAAAAGTAGATGAGAAGGTGTTAGGAGTCCCAAATACCTACTCAGCTATTCTTGAGAGGAAACCTCAACTAAGGCTCTCTCTCAGTAATTATGTATATAGTCGAGCTATTGCGCACTTTACCCTGCATGACACACGGTCCACTCCTCAGGTACGGCAGTTTGGACCGTCGACGCGCCAACAGCGGGAGGCTGGAGTCACGCAGCATGGAACACCTTGATTCTCTACCCTCCCCAAGCATTGCCCAACAGTCTCCCCAACATAACATACACCACAACCATCATCCAAGGCTCTCACCCCACCACTTACACCCCAGCCATGCAGCATCATACTCTCACCACCCACACTACCACAATCACCACTTCCACACATCAGAGCTTCACCAGGAAACTATGGATACCACCAGTGACTCACATCCCACCACAGCCAACTGCAGTTTTGACACAGCATCCAGTGAACGATCAGGAGGGGGAGACACAGTGGATGGACCAACTCAATACAGACTCCACGGAGGTTCCCAAGGAAGCTCACAGAATTACCGGCATCGCAGCAAGAGTGGTCCTGGCCTGCCTGCACCACCTGCTCAGCACCATCGTGGGTCAAATCATGGTGCCGTTCAGAGGTCTCAGAGTAGCACAGTACACAGACTGGTGAGAACATCTAGTGGAAGGAGTTATATGGAAACAACATTTGTCTCTGAACCAAATCACAACCAAGAAAACATCCCTCCCCTTCGACCTTCATCTGAGTTACAACCTTTACGTCCTACTAATGGTATGCACCATGATAACCCATCATCTCATCGTCCTACAATGAATGCTAATGCAGTGGATCATCTCCCTCTACGACCAACAGCGTCTGATCTGCCACCACTCAGAGCCACCAAATCTAGTAGTGAATTGCCTCCACTGAAAGTTACAAGCTTAAAGACAGAGCTGCCAAACAGTCATAATACTTCGTTGAGTTCCATGGCTGAAGAACCATTAATTTCTTTAGCAGAGGCGGCTAGAATGAAAAAGGAGCGGGGAAAAGAGTGGTATGAGACCTCTTTAGATTCACCAGCATCTGGACGTCGAACCAAAAAGAGTACGAGTATGATTGAGATGAACGATTCATGTCAGAGTAATGGTAATGTGTCAGCTAGCCAATCTAACTTAAACCTTAGTGGCAGTAGTGTAGGCAGTACAAGCAGCAGTACGGGCAGTGTCTTCCAATCTCGTTCAGATTCTGCTGACACTTCTCAAGCATCTGTTCCGTATGAATCTCCACGAAATCACATGATTATTTCAGCGGGAACTTACCAGCCCTCAAGAGAAGTAACAAAACCTTTTGAAATGTCAGACTTCTACAAATATAGTACAAAGTACAGACGTCAGAGCTCCAGTAACTTAGCAGGTATGAATGGCAGCAGCACAGGTACCACCAGTGGATCAGTCAGCAGTGTAAGCAGTGGTGGTGATACACCTCTCTCTCCTGTGCTGCCTCCTAGAGCACAGGTATTAGTCAGTAACAGCAAACTGCTTCCCCCATCACCTAACATGGTAGCTCATCACTCTGCCCCTGCACCTCAACAGAAAGGGGTGTACCAGCCCCTGACACCTCTCACTTGCAAGCCCTTGGAAGTCATGAAGGGATCACCTGCGCCAGGAGAACCCGAGGATCCTGTTGGAGGATCTTGGGATGCAGCTCCCCTGCACCAGGCTGTTCCTGCCACAGTCACTCACAAGAGATCTGCCACCTTGGTGTGAATCAGCAAGTTGTGGTTAGGCTTGTGGACCATCGTTATCACTTCACCTGAACATCACATTGTCACACTTGAAAGAGGCTTAATGACTCCTGTTATTTCCATAATGGTGCTTCAGTCATAGTGTAAATACACATTTATATATATATATAAATATAATTGTTAGGTAATCAAAGATCAATCATGATTCTGATTTTCATATACAAGTATGATCTTCGATAGTTTGATTTTGATCTCAATGTATGATACACTACATGTGTTCCTATACAGTACATAATTGTTCTGTAATCTTGTATACATTAGAAAGACAATGTATAAATTTCTTTAAAATACATAATATCAAACTTCCACAGTTTGATGGAAATTTTATGAATAATGCAGGAATATCACATCAACAGACATGTGAAAACTTAACCAAGAGTGATTATGAAAGCTCACTACAAACTGTGAAACCTCACTACTAAATAAAGTACAGTAGTGTACAACTTGATTTTTCAACTGTGATAATGCATTTTCTTACTTTGTACAGAGAAGAGAATATATATGAAATTAAATTCAACTTTATTAGCTAAAAATGGTAGTAAATATCCATTTTTTTTTTAATCATGAAAATGGCACCTATAGCTGTACCTGACATTTACCCACCAAAATAACTTCATTATGACTGTACCAATTCTTCCTGTTATTTATTATGTACTGTACATATATTTGAATTTTAAAAGAAATATGTAACTGAACAAGAAACTTAAATACTATCGTTACTTATAATGATAATCATATATAGGACTAGTAATCTTCTATTGTTTAGAATGAAATCTGAAATTGGCAAATGTTCGCCACAAAGACACAAGATCTGGTACTCATTATATCGTACTTTTTTTTACTTTTCTGATGAATATATCAGTTTGGTGTGGACTTGACTTAATAATCCATGACGACAAGTGGATGTGTGGGGGAGAGAGACAGGGTTGAGCCAACTTTTTATTTCTCTGGCATTTTGGGCTACACAAAACACATCTTCAGAGAGAATATAGCAAGGGGAGGAAGTACATAAGTGGAGACTTATGTACCCCAGGTGCACCTCACCTCCCTGGACACCAATCAGGCTCTGACGCGACAAGGTGTCCAGAGAGGTGAGGTGCACCACCCTGGGTGCTGTATTCTCTCTGATGGTTTCTGTGTAGCCCAAAATGCTAGAGAAATAAAGTTAGCTCAACCCGATGTTTCCCTCCCACCCATCTTTTCCTTGCCCAAAATGCTAGAGAAATAAAGTTAGCTCAACCCGATGTTTCCCTCCCACCCATCTTTTCCTTGATAAGTTGGAAAGAACTTCACAATTCACCAGAAGCTCTCAGTTGGTCTTCCTTTCCATTTTTCTGTGCTGTAGTTTGTCAAAAAAATCTTTGAAGTTTTAATAATAGACATTTCATTGAGTTCCAGATAATGTAGTGCGGTGTTGTCTCCTCAAGTCATAAATAACAACACCTCGTACATTAGTTCTTATGCATTTTTGAAACTGTGAAATCACAGATCAAAAGTTAATTTTAGTTAATGGAAAAATCTAAATGTTTATTATTCAATGTAAAACTGACTCTTGTTTTACGACTACATTTTTGTTTGTAAAGAAACAGTTAAAGTTTTACATTTCATCACAGTGTGTTGTACTTCCAAAGACCCTTACATGTTTCTCCTTTTTGGTTTTGTTGTGCAGTGGGGCCTCACAGAAGCTACCAAAGAAAAGTGCCTTTGTTTATACAAGCAAGTGTAGATATGTGTAAAAATTTTGTACAGTGTAATAAAGTGGAATATGATACTGTATGCTGCTGTTCACTTCTTCCTGCCCGATTATCTGTGTGATAAAACGATAAATAAATTGCATGATTAGTAAAACAAACAAAGCACTAAGTTTGATTATTAGAAAATGATGGCTAATTTGATGAACTGGTTGAATAAGTGATTAATACAGTAATTTGATTCACTGACTATGATAATTGATTGAATGACTGATGACAAGTTTAAGTCTGGCCCCTTGTTTGACTCATTAACAGATGTTAAATGGTTGGTTGATTACATGTTACTTTAACTAGCAGATTATATAACTTGATTATACGAAAAAACATTAAGCGGATCAGGTATACACTACATTGATCACCCATCTCACACGACCCTGTTGGTGAAATTTAAATAGCAGTATAATATAGTCTTACCAGGCCACAAACTTGCCAAGTAGGTAACACCCTACCATATCTGTCACTGGCCTGCCAAGTGAGAAACTGTCATACACGCTTTTGGTCTACCTGCCGAGTGACAACCTACCATCTCCACCAGTTCCAAAGAAGATTCAACCACAAAATAACCAACTTCTCTTTAAAGGTTTATAAATAATGAAGGACAGTGAGCAAATATCCAGACACATCATATGCCGATATAAACTTTATTGTCACAACAGGATACTGTATATTGTATAACATTACACTCTGTACAGTGTACACATACAACTGGGCATAATTCCCTTATTCCTTTAAGCATTTCTGAGTATCTGGGAACTAAAGGGTCAAATAGAATAAGCAAAATTTGGGTTACTGATCTCCAAACATCACATTCGTATTAGGATTGTCATTTTGCGCTGTTTGTTTAGTACCTTTAACATGGCCCTGGAGTTTTTTACACTTGCACCCGTTCCGAATGTACTTGACTTGTTCACACTTCCAGCATATTATTTTCTTCTTCTGTTTTCTATTTCCCTTTTTCTTTGCATCACCCTTTGTAGGTGGTTTCACTTTCTGATTTGCCTTTCCCTTACTTTCTATACTTTTTTGGTCATTTTTATTTGTTGTCCCAGTTCCACCTTCATTCTCCATTGTCCAGTTTTCTTCCAGAATATTACCTTTTCCTTTTCGTTCTTTCTTCCTCAGCCTTCGTTTCTTAAATTTGTCATTTTTACCTGTGGTTACTTTGACCTTTTTACCTGTGGTCACTTTGACTTTTTTACTGGTTTTCTTTTTCTTAACATTTCCTTGATTGGTTTGAATTGTCTCTCCATCTTTAAGTATCTTGGCTTTCAGTTTTTTAACTTTCTTAGTTTTATTCCCTTCATTTTTACTTTTATCAAGACGTGATTGTTCAAACCGAGTTCCAAACTCTATGAGTTCGTCAAGCTGTCCCAGATGAGGTGAATAAATGTTACCCAGTTTAAATGCAATTTTCGAACACATATCTTCTGAAATGCAATTGTTTTTACTTTTCTGAATCTTCATCATCAGATTCCTAAGTTGACCATAAGTATATTTCTCAGCACCAACGACAACACAAGAAACTTGCCTCATCATTTCTTTTATGGAGTTCTCATAAGGTATTACATGCTTTTGTTTCAGTGCTGTCTGGATTTCCTTAAGCTTGATAAGTGAGTGACCTATATCTGGATTGACATTTTTTAAGCTGCTAAGGTTTTGCCTTAACGTTTTTAAAAATTTGCTCTTACTTCCACAAATCTGTAGAAGATAATTGAATTGTAATGGGGAATAAGTTGTTTTCTTAATTTGCCTCTTTTCCTTCCTTGCTTGCTTAAGACTTTGAACATAACCTCCAGTCAGAGGTATAGCAGAGCTCTGGTTCTTGGACACAAAGCTAATAAAATCCTCTAATCCTGCAAAAGGCTTCTGACCCAATAAAACTTCAACCATTTCCTGAGCAGCACAGCATGCTTCACTACTTCCATATATAAAGACCTGAAAAAAATAGTGGCATTAAGCATCAGAATCTCTAGCTCAGTCAGACCTGAAGGATATTTAAAACTAAGTTAAGATACAGTTCAGTTTACACCATAACCTCTTGACTATACTGGACCTTAAAAATATTTCAATACCAACTTCAGATAAATAATTCAAGCTGTTTTCAATATGGCCTAGTGAAATAAGATTATGTATGGAGGAAGTAGTATGGTATACAGATTCCTACAGACCCAATATCCATGAAATCACGGATTTACTGCACAGTAAAATGTTCTGTAAGTTAATATTTTCTGGACGTTTAAGAACTTTTACAACATTAATGTCTTTTGATATCATTCTTGCTTTTCATATATGAAGTCTTGCCATAATCAACCCATGTAACTCCTCCCTCTTCCTTACAATAAATTACCTTTTTATTGGGCAGCAGACAGTCAATGTGCAGATATGCACCCGAGCGCCTCATTATTTCTTTCATGATCACACCTCGCTGTCCTAATAGCCTTCCAATTTCTTTGGCTTTGATTGGAATCGTGACTGCAGGTTCCTTCTGTGGTGAAATGAAAATGAATTTTTAAGGTGATTTATAACGGGTTTTTTTTCAAAACTTAATTAACTCAATTGGAAAGAATATGAAAGGATTGACCCTGAAATCCCATTATATAACCAAGCATAGATCAGACGACTAAGATGTAGGTAACAAATCAGCAGAAAATTTTAAGAAATGGAAGGAAGGAATTGAGTCAGATCCTGAGAGGAAATGTGGCAAAAACAAAACTATTGGTTCAAAAATTATCATAACCACTTGACTATGCTGGACCTAAAAAAATATTCTAATACCAACTTATAAAAATAATTCAAGCTGTTTTCAATAAGGCCGAGTGCTAATTTTAGTCAGTTAACAATAATTTCTCAAAATAACACTACAACACTGCCTTAAATTGCTATACTGTATTCACTTGGCAACAAATGTCTAAACATGTGATTTGTTGCCAAGGCAGCTAAGCTTGAGGCTGGGTATAGTGAAATAAGAGATGTATGGAGGGAGTAGTACGGTATAGAACTTTAGTTCCTACAAACTTAATACCCATGAAATCAAGGATTTACTGCACAGTATAATGTTCTGTATATTAATATTTTCTGGATTTTTAAGTACTTTTACAATAATAATATCTCATGATATCATTCTTGCTTTTCATCTGCATAATTCTAAAATAGATATGCTGGGCCTCACCATTTCCTCTAATATTTAATGGAAGCCACACATCCACAACATTGCTAAAGCCGCCTCCCAAAAGCTGGGAATGCTGTACAGATACCGTAGCTACTTCACTCCTGAACAGTTGCTTCAAGTTTATAAAGGATTCATTCGTCCTAACTTGGAGTACTGCTCTCATATCTGGGGTGGATCTTCTTCTGTCCAACTGTTAGATAGGGTGGAATCATAGGCATTTCATCTTATTGACTCTCCTCTAGTTGATAATCTTTCTTCCCTTTCTCTTCGCCGCAATGTTGCTTCACTCTCTCTTTTACGGGTACTTTAACAGGCAATCTTCGGTGGATTTGGCATCCTGTGTACCGCCGGCAAGGCCGCAGGCTCATATCACTCGTCATGCCCACGGTACCCACCGTTACTCTGTGGATGTCGGTCACACTAGAATAACCTTGTTATAGTACATCCTCCTGTGGAACGCTCTGCCTTCTTCTCTGTTTCCATATTCATACAATCTGTCTCACTTCAAAAAGCCGGTTTTCCGGCATCTTCGCGGTGTAGATTATTATACAGTATTACCCCGCCTAACGCGGTTTCACTTAACGTGTTTTATCATATACGCGGTGCCTCGCCAAAGCTGAACTTTCACTTAACACGGATTTTTTCCACATATACGCGGTGAGTGTCCGGCTCGAGACGCTATTTTTAGATTTGCCCCACCCGCCACCCTGCCTGTTTTAGCTCATAAAATTCATACAAATTACCCGGCCAGAATATAATTTACATTGCTGGAATTCTTATAATTTGGTGATCATTTTGAATATAAACACCATATATTTTGCATTAGACATACAAATTTTAGATAAAATTTTTTCTCAGAGTAACTATGTTATCTTTTGTGCAAAATATATGACATTTATATACAAAATATTCCTGGTCTTACAAGGAATCCAGCAATGTCAATTATATTATCCTAACTTTAGTTTGAGGTATTATTTATTAAAATTTAGTGGTTATCCCACACATCTCCTTGGGACGGTTGGTGGGGGGTGGGGGGGAGGGAGGGACCGACCGACCATCTGTTACCCTGTGAAGAATTATTATTTTTTTTTATTAACTGAAGATATTTGTTTTAGCTCATAAAATTCATACAAATTACCCGGTCTGAATATAATTTACATTGCTGGAATTCTTATAATTTGATGATCATTTTGAATATAAACATCATATTTTTGCATTAGACATACAAATTTTAGATAAAAAATTTTCTCAAATTAACTATGTTATCTTTTGTGCAAAATATATGACATTTATATTCAAAATATTCCTGGTCTTACAAGGAATCCAGCAATGTCAATTATATTATCCTAACTTTAATCTGAGGTATTATTTAATACTAAATGTTAAAAACTCTGGAAGGGAGGATTGGTGGGGGGTGGGGGGGAGGGTTGGGACTGACCGCGCGGTTGGAAGAGGGGGGGAGGCAAGGTGGGGTACTTTGATTGACAGATAGTGTCGTGAAGATTATTTTTTTTTTTATTAACTGAAGATATTTGTTTTAGCTCATAAAATTCATACAAATTACCCGGTCAGAATATAATTTACATTGCTGGAATTCTTATAATTTGGTGATCATTTTGAATATAAACATCATATATTTTGCATTAAACATACAAATTTTAGATAAAAATTTTTCTCTAGGTAACTATGTTATCTTTTGTGCAAAATATATGACATTTATATTCAAAATATTCCTGGTCTTACAAGGAATCCAGCAATGTCAATTGTATTATCCTAACTTTAGTTTGAGGTATTATTTATTAAAATTTAGTGGTTTTCCCCCAAAAATTTCTCTGAGAGGGAAGAGCCGGCAGTGTAGTGTGAGAGGGGAGGGAGTTGAGTCCATTATTTGAATGGACATTAACTTGGCGACTGTATTTCTCTATTTCTCTTAAGTATTAATTGTGTGCATGTACCATCATAAAATTAAGATGTTATTTTTACTACAACATAGGTATGTGCCTTCAAAAAGTGGAGTTTGGGGGTCGGGCCGGTTTCTATTGGAATTAATCCCATATGTTCTGTTGTTCACTTAACGCGGATTTCACTTAACGCGGGACCCTCTGGGTTCAATTGACCGCGTTAAGTGGGGTACAACTGTACACTAATCTCTTTCTATTCCATTTTTAATTTATTTTTGCTCTTTATTTTTTTGCCCCCTAGGTCTCGTTGTGGGTCGATGACCTGTGCCCAGGTGGGCTATTCCCTGTATAGAAAAAAAAAGTCTTGCCATAATCAACCCATGCAACTCCTCCCTCTTCCTTACAATAAATTACATACTTACCTTAGCACAGTGTGCCTGAGAGTCAATGTGTACATTTACACCAGAGTGACTATCCATTTCTTTAGTGATCACACCTCCCTGTTCTAATAGTCTTTCATCTTCTTTGTCTTTGATTGGAAACTTGATTATATCGTATTCCTGTGGTGAAATGAAATTGAATTAAGGTGATTTATAACTTAATGCTTTTTTTTTCTTCAAAACTTAAGAAACTTAATTGGAAAGAACATAATGGGATTGATCCTGAAATCCCATCTTTTAACCAAGCATACATCAGACAACTGAGATATAGGTAACAAATCAGCACAAAATTTTAAGAAAAGGAAATAAGGAATTGAGTCAAAGATCCTGAGAGCAAATGTGGCAAAAAAAAAAAAAATATTGGTTATTGGTATATGTAAGTGACCCTTGGTGGAAAGTGGAAAATGCTCATATACTATTTGTAAAAATGGTGTTGGCAGCAACTCAGTAATGTGCAGTGACTGTGAAAGGTGGGTATATAAGAGGTGCAGTTTGTAAATGGCTGATTTTATGTCTTGTGTGTGCAGATGTGAACTTAACAAGGCTGGAGGAATTCAACATTGGGGATATGTCCCTGGACTGTGCCACTGAATTTTGTTACCTGGGTGACATAATCAGTGTTGGAGGGGGTGCTGAAGCCAGCTCAGTTGCAAGTCAGAAGTGACTTGAGGAATTTTAAGTAGCTGCTGCCTTTATTGAAGGCAAAAGTATCTTCCATCCATGAGAAAGGAAAGCTGTATGCAACTGGCATGAGAAGTCTGATGATGTATGGCAATGAAACATATGCAGTTAAAGAGAATGACATACTCAGGGTTGAGCAAGCTGAAATGAAACTGGTGAGTGCATGTGCAATGACACTGAAAGACAAGAAACCTATTCAGAGCTATGAGGGTAGTTGGGTATTGAGAGTACTGCCAAAGTTTGCATATAGGAAGGCTGAGATAGTTTGGGTATGAGGAGCGAATAGATGAGATCAATTGGGTCAAGAGGTGCATGAGTCTAAATGTGGTGGAGAGGAGAGGCAGGGGTAGGCCAAGAATGACTTGGGAGAGGTTGTCAGAAATGACATTTCGGATAAAAACCTGACAAGCCAGGCCTGGAGAGGTACCATGAGGTATCATGTTTTAACCTATGCAAGCTTTGAATAGTGGCCAGAAATGATGACAATGGTTTTGCAACCAAGGTTTCCAGGACCCCCGACATATGTGAATGAGATTAAATTTCAGAAATCCAGAGAAATTGTCTGTTTTACCTGATGCAACCTTAGCCCTCTAAAATAAGTGGGTATACTGAATAGGTAGATGAGTAATTTTGTTATTAAGTCATAAAGTTGCAACCCTGCCTTGCTAGCTGTTTCACTCAGTGGATTGCTGATAGGAATGGTATTCAGCAGTAACACTTGCTCCAAACATGAATTCCCCTTGGTCTCAGATGCATTTTCTCAGTTGGTGTGCTGCCTGTGCATAGGGCACTGGGTGAGCATTTACAGGCTGGTGCTGCTGCTTGACAGCACGGGAGTCCAAACCCAGGGGTAGAGCCCTATGAGGCTATTCTGTCATCACTTTTCATTCCCTTCTGTAATATCTACCACTTCCATCCTAATCCTTCCCAAATTAGAAGAAGAATGGGTACAAAATATTCTTAAAACACTTTGTTTTCCAAACAATTCAATACTTTCAAATATAACCTAACCTAAACTTCACGTGTACAATACTTAACAGGAATCAATCTTTAAGAATTTACTCCATACTGCTAGAACTACCCAAATAAGAGAATACTGTATGCAAAAATAACACTGGTTGAAGTGACACTAAATCACTGATACTAGTAAAAGTTTTATACCCAGTGGTTACTAACCATTACCGTATCTATCCAGAAATAAACATTTAATGTTTAGCCTGCTAGAAAAAGCAATTTCAGAGATGATATTTATAAAATACAGTCACATATACATGTATATAATGACTGGAAGATAATCATATCCTACAAGTTTTATGCAAGAACACGTAAAACCACAAACACATAGGAGAAGCATGAGAGAATAAAGGCTGGAAACTGTTTACCTAGGTGAAAATTCTTTATTGGACAGACAGATGAAAGCAAGGAAAGGTAAAACACGAAATGCTAGTGGGAAAAAATAAGAGCAAAGGGAAGGTGGTGAGGAGACGGATTTCAGGATCAATCCCCCAAGTTTTGTTATCTTACCATGATCTGTGGTCCTTCACTACTAACAACCGACGATCCATCCTTAAGACTGGTGGGAGAGGAGTAGCTGATGACAGACTGGGGAACTTTCAGGTAGAAATGGTTCTGAAAGGATTTTGGACAGTTATGGCCGTAATGTCCCCTCTTGCCACAATTGTAACAAAATCTATCCCTTGTAGGCCGGGTTTTGGTTCTAGGTGGAGGTTCTGGCACTTCCCCTGAAATCTGAAAAATAGTAAATAACAATTAAAAAAGTAAAATTAATATTTCAAACAATAGTACTACAGTTTCTAGACCAGTTGAAACAAACTATCTACCATAAACATTTCCTTACCAAGACTTTCAGTGCTCAAGATTAGTGTGTAACTAAAATTATTCACTGAAAACTTTCTAAACAGTTATTAGTTTCTTTATCACACTCTTCAAGCATGTGCCAGTAGGATCATACACCTTATACTGTATACTGTACTCATGTATAATTCATCCCCTGATTTTTTTTAGTAAAAAGCCTGAGTTTTTCATATGCTTCATGAATAATTCAACCCAAGCAAGCTTTCAAGAAATACAAGGTATAATCTGAGACAAATTTTTGTAGCAAGATACCAGATACCAGACTCACCAACAAGTGTTGGCTGTGACCACCACCACAACAGCTGACATTATGTAAATGTTACCAACTCTGAAACCGAGTTCCTGCCAGACTTACCACTCCTAAAAGTAGCTTTAACTGTATACTGTAACATCAAAACTTAAAACTGCTGGCATATAAATGGTAATAACAGACGCATAAAAATAGTGTGGAATCTCCGTTAGCCAAAACAACTGGTGCAGAGTACGTCCGGTAATGAGAGATTTCCGGGTAACGAGATGACTCCCTCAAAGCCAGGAAAAATCCCTCATCTCTGAAATTTTCCGGGTAACAGAAAAATATTCCAGAAATTGCGCATTGCATCATCTCTCGAACCCAGAAAATATCCCCCATCCCTGGAATTTCCCAGGTGGTACCAGAAAGATTTTCTAGGAATTTCAGGAAAATGCACTTGATTTTCATCTCTTAAACCTGGAGAAAACTTCCTCATCCCCGGATTTTTTTTATTTTCCGGGTATCGGGAAATTGTATTCAGAATTTTCCACAAATGTGCCCCTCGGAAAATGATTCCCAAAGACGTAATTTTCTAGAATTTTCCAGAAAATTACGACTTTGGGAACTATTTTCTGAGAAAATTTAAATTCCGCCTATCGGAGAGTTCCAGGTTTGAGGGATTACGGCTAACGGAGAAATTACAGTACTGTACAGTCTCTCCTCGACTTACGACGGGGTTCCGTCCTGACGAACAGGTCGTAAGTCGAAAAGGCGATAATAATACATAGAAATTCTAAAATGGGTGTCTCTTTTTCTTCTCAGCCATTTTAAAAGGAATTACAAACAAAAATTTTGTCAGTACAGAGCTCGATCACTAACGTCGGGACTCGAAAATACGTAATGTAAAAATATTTTATACGACCATGGCCGTCGTATGTCCGGGTTGTCATAAGTCGAGGAGAGACTGTATATAGAAGTTAGTGACTTAGTGTACATACAGTACTACCAAAGTGCCAGGGACCCTCACCCCGCTGGCATGCTGCCTCCCCTAACAATGGTACTCAGTACCATGAAAGGTGTACAGTTAAATAATGGTGGAATATGCTTTTATAATGGTCCATAATTAATGTTAATTTCTAAGGGTATTATTATTGAATAAATTAACTTTAATAAAATTTTAACACAGTACATTTATTACTACAAAGTACATCCTGTGCTGTGATGATTCACATTATGGTAGATTTTATAAAAAACTAACGAATAACCTAAAGTAATACTGTAAAAATATCATAAAGAAAACACGAACACGCTGAACAAATTCTGGGACACAAACTCCTTGCCACGTGATGTTACGCACAGGGGTGGAGGATGTTGCTGAAGCTGTGTACTTTTTCCTTGTTCTCATTAAGATATTTATCATACTAGAGCATTTCACTTGTTAATTTATGCTTCCCCATGTGCAAAAATTGTGAAAGATCAACACAGAAAAGGAATTATCCCTTAAAATATCAGAATATAAATACAGTACTATAGATTAACTACTGAAGAACTGTAGTGATTCTTCGAATGCCCATCCACCAGCCAATCAGCTGCCGCATTACAAACTGATCCTAGGCCTCGGTTACAAGATTTGAGTAAACAGACTATTGTTATACATATTTCAACTACAGTATAGTATGAGTTTACGCACCTAATTAAACCCATGGAGGTCCGCGTATAAAGCGAAACGCGTAAATAAAATAACAGAACATATGGGATTAATTAAAATAGAGACTGGGCCGACCGCCAGACTACCCTTTTTTGGGCTATCGCCGACACAATACGTACGTTGTAGTAAAAATAACATCTTAATTTTATGATGGTATGCACACAATTAAAATTTAAGAGAAATAGCAATAATATTAGGTTTTTTAACACTTACATTAGTAGAAGAGATGGCTGGGCACACAGGGATGGGGGGTCGGTTCCGAGGCAGAGGGCAAATTATTGACCCTCACCTGTATCTCTATCCACCACAGAGGCTAGCAGGGCCTCCTTGTCAAACCCCTCAAAGTCCATATCCTCACTATCACTAACTTGGGCTGGCTCGATTCATTCACTCCATATTGTCTGGCCAGATCCATCTGCCTCGTGCCTTTTTCTAACTCCTGACCGACCATGTACTTAACCTCATAGCTTAAGGCGCATCGCACTTTCTTGGGCTTGGGGCGGCTTGGGCCAGGTAGTTCAAGGTTTCTCAGGGGTGGTGGGGGTCCAGCGGTAGCCATTGTGTCAAAACAAAAAACAAAACAGGTTCCTGGGCACAAGTGAGTATACGCGGGGACAATGAGACTGGCGCGGCCAAGGTCATCAGCCTGGTGGCAGGGGCACGCAAGGTTAAATAGACCAATCACAGAGCGCGGCGGAGGGGGTGCGTGGGTGGTAAGGATACGTGGCCCAATCACAGTCCGCGACGTCATCGGCACGAGTCTAACGTCAGCGCCCAGCACTTTGCCCGCCGCTTGCCGCGTAAATTAAGGAATGTAGCGCGTAACTAATAATTGTCGTGTCTGGACAGGTGCCGCATAAATGGCCAATCGCGTATAAAATATCTGCGTAAACCCAGACTATACTGTAATCTCTCGCACCTGTTTTCTCTTCTGGTCCATTTTTAATTACAGGCTGTAGAAGTGTAGTTTAATCGTGCATAGTGAGTATCATCACAGGTACGGGAAGCGTTGGTGTTAAATCCAGCTCCTATGCTAAAAAAATAAAAATAAAAATCACTAAGTTCATTAATAATTATCCTACACTTCTGTAACCAAAACTTTTGGCCTTAACTTAAAACATAAACCAATTCCTCACTTCCATAACAATCTACGGGACCAAACTAAACTATCTTACTGTGTTGTGAAATCTTCTCCACAGATCAGGACAGAGCTCCTTCCGATGGCCTTTATATCCACACAAACTGCATGTCAATGAATTGGCTGTGTCAGGACAAAACATATGAGGATTTCCACCACACTGTAAAAAAACAAATTAATACTGTATTATCTTCCAAACAAATGGATATAAAATGAAAAATAATAATAATACACAGGAACTGAGAATATGACAAAATATTACACTTTTAAACATCTCGACCGTAGAATAAATTTTTAACCATTTTCACTTTGTATAATGTCATAAAAGTTGAAAATATGAGTTATTGGATGTTTCAACTTGTTATTCTAGTCCTTTCCTGTTGGTTTCTATCATTAGTCTTGCACCAATCTTTTATTTCTCACATTCATTAAGGTTTCTGTGCTCCTTAGCTACTCCACATGAATGTGGGATAGATTAAAGATAACAATTAAAAAGTTAAATAGAAATTAACAAATTTTTTTTTAATGACTTCTAAGAAAACTGTACTTGTTACATCTCTAGCTAATAAGAAAAATAAAATGCTGTATAATACACTTAAATTACTTACTCTAAAACAACAGTTGTCGGGGCATTGATGTCGATAGATATGGTCTGTCCCAGAACAAAGGTGACAATGAGGAACTCTGGGGCATTCCTTAACCATATGCCCATATTGTTTACACCGAGTACATCTAACTTGAGCATCATAGTACCTCCTACTATGTTTGATCAGATAATCTGATGAGATAATACCCCAGGAAGACTTTGCATCTGAAAGAAAATTGAATAAATTTAACTGAAGAATATGTAAAATTTAAAATAATGCTGAGAAGCCATATTACAGTTGAATTTTGAGGAAAACCAGTGAATGTAGTTTATAGATGCTAGTGGCATCAAGGATATAAGGATGCATCTGATCCCTGAAGAGCACTACAAATATTACAATTATCTTCAGAACAATAAAAATTCAGCAATTGCGTCATCATCAATGTTCTACAGCCATTTTCCTTGGTTGAATGGGTTAGCCTGAGTTACCTGATAGCAGCTCCCCATGCTGTATGGTCTCTTAAGAACATAGGATTGGAGGAAGCTGCAGCAGGCCTATTGACCTACACTGGGCAGTCCCGTTTACGGTACACTCAACCCCTCCCGCTCATATATCCATCTAACCTATGTTTGAAGCTATCCAGCGTATTCAAGTTAATGATGATGTTTGGTAATTTGTTCCACTCATCCACTACTCTATTTTCAAACCAATGTTTACCTACCTCGCGCCTAAATCTAAATTTGTCTAATTTAAAACCACTGCTACGAGTTCACTCTTGGCCAATCCCTGGCTTTCCTTCCCTCACAATTAGTCTCCTCCATTTTTTTCCATATGCCTAAACCAGTTCAGCCTATCTCTATGCAAGACGTCACCAATACGCTCATGCCCATCTGCCCCCTAGGCTCTAAACAAGATTTCTTATCTTTCAGTGTTACATTGCACATTCACCTCCCCATTCTTATTTTAGCTCACTCAAGCCTGCATTATTATGACATCCCTTTTAGCTGCACATTTTCATTGCAATATACATCCTCACACCATTTCCATAATCTTTCCTTTCATGAGGAGGGAAGGTCCTGAACAGGTATACAGTCATCCCTTGGTTATAGCACACTTGGTTATCGCAATTTTCATTATCACGCCCCCATCAAAATCTGCACACCTGCTGTTATAGCGCATTTTTAAGCCGAGAATTTCGTTATCACGCAGTTGCCTCCAGGTGTTTTTACCCATTTGCTTCACCTACATCTATTGAGGATAAAATCTTTCACCAACAAATTGATTGACAATAACACATTTGCTGTAATCAGACATATCTAAGTTGCCTCAACAATTCTGTGTCATTACTAAGGAATAACGAAGTCTCAGGTGCACTCTAAGATTGGGAGAAAACGGAGGACTCAGGCGTCCTGAAGCAATTAGAAAACGGACTCCTCAGACGGGGGACTCAAATAAAGAAAGCATAGCTACATGTTTTGTGGACTACAGTATTGAGTGTACCCTTTTCATCACTTTGTAATAAACCTAGCCATGCCTATGTGTTTTTCTGATACTTACCATAACATTATCTATATATTTAGTGGGTCTAAATCAGTGGTGTCAAACCCAATACCTTTCGAGGGTCAATTCTTATTTTAGTTACCCTCTTTAGGGCCAACACAAGTGCTATATCACATATTTGCAGGATTGAAGTTTACAGCTTCACACATTACCTTACCTGGCTTACCAGGAATACCTCATTTGGGTTTGTCTGATCTTAAGTATGTAAAATTCATTTTACTAAATAAACATGATTATATCTATTTCTTTCATAATTTCACATGATGATAAATTTTACCATCATCCCGCGGGCCACACCTGACCATCCCGCGGGCCAAATACCTGACCATCCCACGGGCCATGAGTTTGACACCCCTGGTCTAAATGGTCGTAAAATGGGAAAATTGGGGTTGGGTCTTGGGTGCCTGGAACCAATTAGAATAAATCCCATAGGTTCTGTACTTTCGTTATCGCGTTTTTCGTTATCATGCACTCGGCGAGGTCCCAATTAGGCATGATAACCAAGGGATGACTATAATTATGAAATAGCAATACAGTAATTTCATTACTGTATACTGTACTGTAATGTACAGGATAATATTTTTTTTCTAAATCAAAATATTTTGTATACCGAGATCATGTTGATAACATCAACTACATAGTACATATACAGTACATAACATTATTATGAACCTAATGAACCTTGCCTAATTTCAGGTATTATTTAGTTATGATAGTAATTAACATGTTAAATGAAACAGCAATTCATATAATTTTACCATAGTATACAGTAAATATTAAGTCATAGTAAAGAAAAAAAGTTATCCATAATTAGCAAAACTTCAGTTGCATGTTACAACTGTACAGTACTGTATACTATACCTGTACATGGACAATTATCCCTATTTGGTACCACACACACCTACATATTTTTAGCACCAAGTATCTTACTCAGATGCTACATATTTACACAAACACTGTACAATAATGAGGGTTCACTTACTTGTTTGTTGCTGATGTACTTGTTTTATTTCTAAATCTTCTGAGACATCTGAGTCATAGAAGTTGACCATCTCCTGCGTCCAGTGGTCACAGGTTGACTTTTTTCTTGTGTCAAGTCGACCTCTTGAAAAATCAATGGTTTGAGGAAGTAATGATAACCTGCAATTCTTTTTAGTTAACTTGTGTTGTTCGTTGACACCATTATCATCTTCAGCCAAGTCTTGTAACAAAGTGGATAACTGTGTATCAATATTCAGGGTGAGATTTGGGCTGTTTTTCAGGTCTAACACACTAATATCAGAATCACTATCATCGTCTGAGCTTAGTAATACTTCATCGATCTTAAGGGCTGAATGCGTGCGTACAGTTGCTCTCATATAATTTTTTGTTGTATTATTTATTGAGTTTTGCACCACTCTGGCCCTTTTGGGGTTATTAATAAAAGTTTCTTCTGTAAGCTGATCCAGAGAACACCCTGCCTCTGATGTCTTTGTTCTGACTGTGACTTCTCCATCTGATTCACTTTGAGCATCTGATGACAAAGTTACAATTTCATACACCTTTGGCCTTGGTGGTGTACATGCATAAACATCACTGTCAAAATTAATACAGTCATCTACCAAATTAAATTTTCGCTTTGATATAGTTGTTCCAGCACTGTTTGGTTCTGCTAACACCAAACTATCACATCTTGACTCCTCCTCCACACACTCGTCAGAATCACCCTCGTCATTCCTCTTCCTCTTCGACTTCCTTCTAGACTCATGTCCATCGTTTTGACTTATTGTATTTCTATCCAATATTGATAACTTATTACTTGTATCTGCCTCAATATCTACATCATCATCAATAGTAATTATGTTGCAGTAAAGGTCATCTAAGGGTATATGCCCTGGGATACTGCCCTCACTGCATATACTTGACAATCTGTCTCGCTCTTTTCGTGCTTGTGTTTGTGGAACTTTGCTACAAGGAGCATTTGATTCTTCAGATAAACAGAACTGACTTGGGTGATTTGACATACATGTTTTATCCCCTTGTTGGGGCTTATTCTTATCCTCCTTTGCCAATAAAGATGTCTCACTACTATCAGTGATTCCATTAATATTTTTTTCAAAAGTTTCTTCCAGTGAAATTCCATGGTCAACCTGACTACTTGTACTAGCATATGTAGCTTCTAGGTTGGGTTCAAAGTATAGCTGAGCATACAAACCATAATCCATTTCTTCATCCTCACTGTCAAATTCACTGCTAGAGCTCCAATCTTCATCATCATTATTGTAGGACATCTTTTTTTCTGAAAAGTATAATAATAAACATCCTAAATATATCATCATAATCTTAAGGGCATACAATACACATTGTATCAAATTAATAAAAATCCTTTAATAAGATGATTGAAAAAAAAGCTAGCCAGACAATCATCCTGTATACCTGTGACAAGCGGGATGCCACAGGGCAGTGTACTGGGCCCATTGCTGTTTGTTTCATAAAAGACATGCCTGAAGCTATCCACTCTTTCATACAAATGTTTGAAGACAATGTCACATTATTCCGGGAAATTAAGAACCAAACAGACTGTGAAGAGCGACAGAAAGATCTCTGTCAGCTTTAAGAGTGCTAAAAAAAATGGCTGTTATGATTCAATGTCACAAAGTGTAAGAGGATGCACCAACGTCGTACCAACAGTAAGGAGGCATATCACAACTCCCTCCCACCCTGTCATGCAGCCATCAACCTGCATCCAAAACCCAAACAACATTTAAGTTTTAAATGTGTACAAAATACCTGTATAGCACCTTATAAGCTACTCTCCCTACTAGAGATACAGAAAAAATTAAAATAAATGTTCTTCATGCACTCAGAAGTTAATTTCTGTGTCATTTAAGCCAACTGATAATTATAGAGAAGGCTAGAAGCATTTTCACCCACCTGCAAGAACAGAAGTCAAAAGATTCTAAATCAGAGACCTTTCAAACCAGCTTAAGCTCTGACGAGAAAGCAGTATGCAAGTACTGTTTATCTCAACATCTTGAATGCCATCATTCACCAAGGCAAGCACTGTACCCCCAGCTTGTATTCACCATTGATGAAACTAGCCTCTTTTAGAAGTACTGTATTTGCCATCAAGCACATTCATCTCTCAGTAAGAGGTATGCCTCAGGGTTTAAAGCCATACAAAGACCATTTCATGGTCTTGTCAGGCGGTAATGCTCAAGCCCATAAATGTTAACCACTGCACTTTCAAACACCACAAGCAACTGATTTTCCAAAGAACACCTAACTCTCATCCAGCCATCAAACATTATTTAAAGGAAAATAACTTTGAGCGATGAGCCTTGTTGCTGCTTCACTGTGCTCCAGATCACCCAGACAATTCTCAACTTTCTACAGATGTCAGTGCCAGTTGAAATGGTCTTCCTGCCATCCAACATGGCTTCTCTTCTCCAGTCAATGAACAAGGATGGCAGAGTCAACTTTAAGAAATATTTCTGTAGATGCACATTGAAGCAGCTGGTAGTAATTCCCTTACAGATGGTGTTATGAGGGGTATCACATACAAGTCACGCGGCCAATCAAGAGCGTTTTTTGGGGGCCAACCAATTAAAATGATTTGTGGTTTTATTCGCGGTAATTTGGGCCCAATCAAATTTGATTTATATTTTGGGTCTCATAGTTCTTAATTCAAATTCATTTCCGACCGTGGAAGTCTGTGATGGGTGTCACTTCAATTTTATGGAGTTGATTGCACATTTTGGGGAAAAAATGAAGAAACTATAGTATCGGGTGTTGTACTTCATCACTTCTTTGAAGCTGCCCGCCTATACCCCCCGTTAAGTGAGAATCAGAGTCAGCAACCTGTACTAATCTCAGATTCCAACGACGAACGAGAATCAGGCCAATAATGTAAGAAATAAGAGATTCCATCATATGGTGAGTCAGTTACAGTAGGTTAGGTCAGGTTTATGTTTTTCTAGTGTTTTTTTGTGTAATTTGTATTCGCTTAGCCATAATTTTTATCGGAAAACGCCCCCACAAAAAAAAAAGATAAAAAAACACGGCCAATTTCCGACGGAAATGAAGGTCGCAACCAATCTAAACACACATAAATACACTAGAAAAAACATATTTTTTACTTTTAAACAGAGTTATGTGCACTTATGTAAAATTACCAATCGCCACCAAACTAATGTATTAAGAAATAAAGTGGTGACCCTCTCCATTGATCTTTCGTTCTTTACTAAAAGAATACGGATAAAGTATCCTCTCAAAATATTGTGGGTAATAAAATGGGGTCTCGCCTCTAAACCTATTGCATTACCTTTATCCACCACGGTTACAAACACTCGACCCCCAAGACAATCTGATTGTCTGGACTTAAAGTGAACCCTCCTCAAAACAACCATACATCACTACACTGTACTTAACCATAATAGAAACACCATACTAATAATAACCTGGGACTTGTTAGATGTAAACTTGCCCTTCTGTGACTCACCACCGCCACAGTGACGGGTAGGTTGTCACACCATGTCTTACAGCTAAACTTCTCCTCTACACGTGCACCAGTAAGTATAAACGCTTGAGTTGTTCGTGAAAAACACAATCTCTTATGAAATGATTATTCTCTTCGGGTCACGGAATAGCGTTGGATCATATTAAGTAACATAAAAGCATCGTTATTAAGGCTAACTTCGAAGAAAATACTTGTATTATTAGAATCTAATTCTGTATCAATGATATGACGTAGGTAGGTCTCTGTTAACCAGGCGCGAGAAGAGGGCGACGACCACCTCAATCTGGAGCACAAAAATAAAAGTCTAAAGTACCATCTCAGTTATAGAGAGATTTAACCTAAAACATATGTATTCACTTCACTCTAATTAGGAGATAAAATTAAGGCATATATTTTTTCTTAAAAGATTCTATACTATCGTCTCATAAATAGTGCTAAGTGAACGTGTCTACTCTATATTTTTTACGGCACTTTTTGGGCGTTTTATGTGCTATAAAATAAGCTGACCAATTAGATGCACTTTTACGTCTTTAATTACAAGTAATACTCATCATAACACTAACTTTTGAAGACCGACCATCACTGTCAGCGGGGTACACCACGCAGCACTGATTATAAGCTACAGGAATGTCGCTTAAAACGATATAAACCTCATTCTGGATGGGATATCATATATATTTCAAATGATATGAGCCAACCAAACTTATACTAATGTAATAAAAACTATTCTAGGTTTGTTAATTGGGTTTGCATTGTTTAACTTATGATTTATAAATAAATTATTGATGTAGCTGTTACTGCTTGAGTTCTTTTAATAATATAATGATTTTCTACTTTCCATTTGATATTTCTTATAATGTGTATTTAGTAAATATCATCATATGATACCTTCATAAATTATCAGTTAAACAGGTAAGTACAGTCGGACAACCTAACTCACAAGGACCGTCTTGATAGCTGATCCTTGGAACTAATAGTTTGTAAGCGATGCTACAAACTATTATCCTCAAAAGAAATAATTGTGCTCATCCATACAGGCCAATTGGTGGCAAACCGTAGCATACACATTTGCAGAACTCACCTTCTTTACTTTTTACTTTATTTTATCCTCTTCGCCACTGATCGGCCTCTCTCTCTCTTTTCCTCTGTTAGTGGTACGTACAGTGGGTATGAGCGTATCTCTTCGTGTGTCCCAGGTTCAGTCCCCGGCTCAGGGCAGACGTAGGAAGAGTGTCATCCAGTGTGACCATCAAGGTTTCTCCGGTACTCCAGCTTCATCCTGCACTAACACTGGACAATGAGCTCTGAGGCGGTGGGCGGTCGGTCGAGTCTGTTAGCAAGCACTGGGGATGTACAGAGCCACAGACTAACCGGCTAGTAAGTTTTTAAAGCGGTGATACGATATTTAAATAATATTATGAGTAGAATTTCAAGTCAGCAAATAATTATCTTAGTTATGTTGTTTAAAAAAAATAAATTAAATAGATGCCAAACTTCCTTAATTCGTTATTTTTCATACTTATTTAGTGTCTACGTGTGTGTTTTTACTTATTAATCTTATTTAAAATAACGATGGACGACAAAATTTTTGGAATATGAGGAAATATATGAATGTTCAGTTTTAGACAGTGAGTGGTGGCTGGTGGTGGTGTTGGCTGGAGGCGGCGGCGTTGGTCCCTGCTCGCTCCCCTGCACATTAATGTCGTTTCTTTATGAAAGTGGAAAGTGACCTATGAGTGTTAGGGGCATCTGTTTACAGATATGAGCGACCCCGTGGAGAAAATGTTGAACCAAGCAGCTCTAGAAGCATTATACTCAGCTACTTACGTTGATAATTTTCTCGGTAAGTGCCAGGAAAGTTATGAAATACAAGAGGTAACATTATGTGTCAAGCCAGAGGTTCACCTAAAACAAAACAATGTTGTATATTGTTTTCCTTTTTATAGCAAATTGTAAACAGTTATGTAGATTATGGTCAGTGCAGCCAGCAGTAGCTGGTCTAGTGTGCCTAAACGTAAAGGGAATGAGATAAGGTGAAAACTTGTTGTGAGTGTCAGGTGCCAGCCCCAGCAGGTAATAATAATAATAATTAATAATTTATATTAACTCAATTTGACCAAGGACAGCTGACAAAGCCATGAAATAATTATTTTCGGTAGAGTCCGAATGCCAGCAGCATGGAGTGGTCTTAGGGCCAGGCTGTCACCCATCCACGTACCGCCGTGCTTAACTCCGCTGATTGGGCAAGAAGCGGTGTTTCCATTGTGGTACTACAGCTTACCACTGTCCTGTACATGTGTTGTTCACACACTATATTACTGGTGATTTAATAACTTGGATCTTTACTTCTGTGTGATTTAAAAAATGTTGAATGGTTTGTTCCTGGTAAAGGTTCACTGATGGTGTGTTCTTCACTACTGAGTGTCCATTATTTAGAGAACCAACAGTTACTGGCTGCTTCTTAAGTGAATTAATGTCATGCCAAATAAAATCATCTGGCAACAACCAGAATAAAATTATAAAGTGCAACAATTGGTGGAGAAGGGTTTATGGGCGTAAAATATTGACCACCGTTGTTGACGTTCAGCAGGCACTGCTACTGGTACTTTATATCATAAAGAAATAAACTACAGGTAGCTATTCCCCTATTTGGTTTACAAGTGACTTTCAAATGCACCAATAACTTAATTTTACCCCACATTGATTTGGATTCTCTGCAGTAAACAAACATATTGGTAAAAAAAAATGGAGCTAAACTGACCTTATATTGATATTTGTAAAATGCACATGGAAAATAATGAAGTAAAACAAGGATCTCATCATTAAGAACATGTTTAGGTGTCTTAATATGGTTTGTGTTATTAGTGGTGCATATTTATTTTTAGACACCGTGGAGAATCTACCGGATGAAGTTCAGAGAGAGATATCCAGCATGAGGGAACTGGACGTACGTTATCAAGGTAAAGTATACAAAATAATATATTCATCCTAATATGGTTAGGTTAGTAATCAGATTATGTAACATATCTGATTTTAATTATTAATTAAAGTTTGTATGCTTGATATTTGAATACTGTACATAATTTAAAAAGTTCCTGGAGATAAATTTAAAGTCAAAGGAGTTTGTGTGACTTAAATGCCTGTTGTAAAGCTTGAGGTGATAAATTATTAGAAAAGTGTGGTCCAGTCAAAATAGATTTGTATGAACTAAACATAATGTGAGAAGAGGATCAAGTGAAAGATAGGAGAGGAAGGAAGGAATACTAAAATAGGTTCCTAATTAAATTAATGAGAAGATCAGGGGTTCAGTTTCAGCTTGTCCCATTTTTTCTCTTCTCTGGATTTGACTTGGAGCAGAGAATGGGAGAGAAGGTCTTGTGCCCTTGTCTTTTATTTTTATTATTTATAAGTCTGGGTCTTTCAGGGACTCTTTTTTTCATACTTTGAACTACTTCAGAAATAGTGTAGTTATAGCTGCTTTAATGGTCAGAGTTTGATCACAGGGAACACCGACAACTGACAGCAGAGGTAAATATCAAGCCACATAAGCTAATGGGTTGTAGGACTAGAGAGTTCAAGACTTGGAATCTCTACTTTCTTTTGTTAAGACTTGTTCATCGTGGTTGTACTATACTCACCAGATATGAGACCTTTAGGACAGTTTGCCCCTGCATGAAGTTCTAGATGGCAGCTTCAGTGAGTCCATCCTTCAAAGAGGCTGTGGTTAGCTGCTCCTTTAATTGATAACTACAGTACTGTATGGTATTTGGTTGACACCCCAGGACTGCATAACATTTAATAAGTAATTTTGTAACTGTTGGAATGGACCAACTCATCGTTCCTCTTTCCCATGCTGAGGTGAGTTGACCCTAAAGTTGTGATTCTTGTGATGTTAAACCTTGGCCAGTGTTGAAAATAAGGGTGGATCAGATTGTATATGTTTAAAGGTTGGCAATAAACTCTTAACCCTACTCACATTTTAGGATATGTTAATGCGAAGGACCTTTCTTTGGGAACTTGGTATCAAAACAAAGGATAATCTAGTCTCTATATTTTTAGATCTCATCCACTTAAGTCATGGACCCTGGGGGTTCAACTCCCAACACTTGATGGCTCTAGTGAGTTGTTTGATCAAAGCTGGTTATAAAATATGGCATCAGGAACAAGTGATCATATAGGTGGAGAACTGTGGCACAGTTATTTTCAGGGAGATTAAGGATATAATGGGAAAAGTGGACTTAAAGAGTTAAAGTTATGTAGTTCTTAGTTGCATATTTATGTAGTACAGGTGGTTCAAGAAATGAAAGTGGAGTACTGTACAGTATTGTAGTTGCACTGCACTATTTTATGTTGCCAGAGGTAAACACCTCCCTGGTAGATAGGTTTGCTACATGATTTTTATAACACTGCTTTTCACTTGCAGCCCTCCTACAAGACATGGAAGGCCTTCGTGGACAGCTCGAGGGAGAACTGGACTCTATATCACTTAAACGTATAATGGTTCAGATTCAGGATAAACTTATTTCAACACAGGAAATTGGAGATGACAAACTACAAATTGTACAGCACATTCTTGACATCATTGAAAACAGGCAGAGGCAACTTGAATTAGATTGCAAAAACTTAGGTAAGAAAGGACAAATTATGTTCCATTTTAAATTTGTACTGTAATATAGCCAGTACAGTGCAACATTTATTAACATTACTCTTGACCATGATAAAGGAGGTTTTTCTCTCATATGTGTGTTTTCTGTATTATAATTGTCTATGACAGAATATTCATATATTATACTGTATACTAAATCACTTAGAATTTATGCATTTTATTCAGTCAGATCATAACAATAACACTTAAATATTTGGTGAATGGTCATATACCGAGGCTTAGTTAATTAATACACATATATTCTTCCTGATTAATAAAATATATCTATCAATAAATGTTTCAAATGATTTTATCAGTAGCTATTATGTTGGGTCATGCTAATCTTCCTCCAAATTGTGGGATACAGTACTGTACTATATACTAAAAATGGTATGCACTGTATACATAAAATTTAGGATATGATAACTGCCTTAGGTTAATAGACTGGATGTTTTTTTTATAAATTTGTCTGTAGACTTTGGACAAGAACCAGAAAAGCCTGAAACTTCAAAAGAAGTTCAGCCAGAGAGAGCCAGCAAGAGGGCACGCCGCACGAGGAATGATCATGCTACGAATCATAATGAAAACTCCAATGATGCTCCTATAACACCCCATGTTGAGAAGGCGGCAACAAATAAGGTAAAGCTTCAAAATTTTGCATGTCGATACATAACTAATGTGGGCAAGATTATGCACAAAGATATGTATACGTACATACACTCAAGTACTGTATGTGCACTTGCATCGACAATCATAAGCTTAAATATTAGTGGTCAAGTTATTAATCTGGTAATCAAGTAAAAGGATAGCTTTGGTTTTAACCCTCTTTTTTGTCAAATTTTCTTGATAGCCCCCACCCAATTTACATAAATTCAAAACAAATTATCATTGACATCATAATGTTCACCATATTGTTCATAGATAATGATGCACCCTAATGACCATTTTAAGAAAAAAATCCCTCCTTATTCAAGCATTTCCCCCTTACTGCATCACCATCAAGAATGTCTCCTGACACTAGGAGGACTAACTCTATGAACACTGGCTCAGTGAATGTTGCTTTATATATAATAAAATACAGTATAATAAATTGTTGAGTTATTCCAGGCATTTTACACATAATTTTTATTAACTTCCACCAGGGTTCTACTCAAAAAAAGACTACGAAAAAGAAGAAACGGAAGGCAAGAGTCGAGAGAGAACGAGAAGATTCTCCAACTGAAATTCCCATTGACCCAGATGAGCCGACTTATTGTCTTTGTGAACAGGTAAATTTTGCAAATCTCTTATTAAAAGTTTTATATTTAACACATTATTTTATTTCCTTCAGTAATAAAAACATGTTCCTCCACTTGATTTGGTTACTTCTATTTATGCTATATGTTGTATTGTATTACAGTATTTGAACCTCTTAGTCTAATTGTATTGTGTACTACTGTATTAGTTTTTCTTATCAGACTTGTAAGGTACAGTATTAGGTTGTAAGTTATATAGGAGAGTCACTTACTAAGTTCAGTAGTTTCATTATACACAATTCAATATATAACAGGATAATTCGATTCTAGTATTGTCAAATCAGAACTCGTTAAGTGATTTCATGTTTTGGGAAGAAAATATTGAATAACAGTAGTCGGAAAATCTTAAAATAACCTACGCAACTTTCAATATTATTATTTATTATGGGAGATGCATTCCTGTGAAGAAAATAAAATATTCCACTCACTTTGTATACTTTTCAGTTCTTTTAGGGTTAAAAGTGAAAAAAATAGGAAAAATTCACAGGTGTACACAAAACAAGATTAAAAATGAGTGGAGAGTAGAGTGGGGGCTTTAATAGAACCATACTGTATTAAAATATTAGTTCCAGCTATGGTTTGGCACAGCTGAAAGCTTCACTTTTGAACTATTGTAGAAGTGATGACTTCATGAGTAGTAGTAATCGTGTAAATGTTAATCAACCCTATTGAAGTATTGGTACTAATTGCAGTGGGTGTTGGATTAGGAGCATTTAGGAGTATAGATACATTAGTCCTCATTTATTGAAAAGGTTCAGCTCCTGAAAACCCTTGCGATGTTTGTAATTGCAATCAGCAAAACTTAGCTTCCTCAAAGAAAAAAGGTTTGAAGGGGGAGAGGCATTCCAGGCATGGAATTTTGGTCGATTCTCGGGTTGAGTTTTTGTACAGAAACACTTTGAATAAATATTATAAAATATGAAACAAATATTTACGAAATACAATGTAAATAAATAAAAAATCATGAAATTCCTGCACATACTGTTCAAATATGTATGAAATACAATCTGACAGCTGTTCGTCACCTGACCACTACCCAGTCCCCACAACAGCTGGCTGCCACCACTATCTACACCCAACTTTACCACTCTTATGACATTAAAATGATAAGCATATAATAAATGTGAGAATGCATAAAAAATTATAGAAGTTTGATAATGTTTCATGATGGGTTATGTGATTTTTTGAGAGGCATTTAAGTGTTCTCCTTCTAATGACTATGTCAATTAATATATATCTGTGTATCTTGAAGGTGCTCTTGCACTGTGACAGTTTTGTTCACAAAAAATAAATTACAGTAAACTGAAAATTGTGTATGCAAACTTTAAAGAAACAAGGACTCCCTTGGTGTGGTTGATGACAAGCTGCTGAAAAACAAACTAACAGAAGAGCCAAGGGGTGGATAAATAATAAGGGTTTGGGTGAGTATTCAGGAATAAATCAAGCATATATATTTTAAATCAAGATGGTTAAGGGTGTGGGTGGGTTGCATCCTGACTGAGGTAGAATTTAGGATCTTGAAATCCAAGATCATCACTGTAACCATATTGTCATTGCATAAAAATCTTATTTTTGGTTCTTTCTGTTTCAGGTTTCATATGGAGAAATGATTGGCTGTGATAATGATTTGTGTCCAATTGAATGGTTCCATTTCTCATGTGTGGGACTGACCAACAAGCCAAAGGGAAAATGGTTCTGCCCAAAGTGTAGGGGGGATAAGCCCACTGTAATGAAGCCTCGAGCTCAGTTCTTAAAGGAGCTAGAGAAGTACAATAAAGAGAAAGAGGAAAAGTCCTAAGTCACTGGCATATGATAAAATGTGTGGTTGTTTATGACTCTGTACATAAGAATGATTTTAGAAAGATTTTATGTATATTTCAGAAAGTGATATATAGTCTCATAATATGGTGGCATCTCTATGCCTATTACACATTCACAGTGGTTCTATCTCATGTTCAGCTGTATCTTATTTCATATAGAAGAAAAACACTTCCCTCCATCTTTGTGATTGATGGATTATTTTAGTCGTTTAGGCCAATGGTAGCTCAGATACGGTACCATATAAGATGTGTCACTGCTTTAAGTATCTTTTCCCACTTCGTGTAGGTTTGATAATTTACTACAGTACAGTATGTAGTTCTCATGACTTTCCCAGTTACAGTCTGATCTCATCTTCTTATATATAATTTAAACTAATACAGTACAGGTATACCAATGTTCTAACTCCTTGTATAATTTATGGTATACTTAAATTCTTAAATCTCAGATTTTGATAATGTAACATTTTCTAATTTATCTTAAGGTAATGGTTTTAACTTTATCTCTGAATGTTTCCATCTACCATAGACATTTACTGCAAATATGAATTTTCACTGTCTAATGGTTACCAGTAAAACATGTTTTGTTGATGTATTTTTCACAAAAATTTTTCTGTAAATTGGTATTGTTGTTATATGCACTTACTGTTGTTATAAGGATTGATAAGAAATTTTATGCACATGAACTTCATATTGGAAATTGAGCTTATTGAAGGTAATTGCCGAGTGATAAGTAAGCAAAGGTATTGGATAATAGTGTTAGTATCTTTAGGAGTATATGTAGTGTTGTACCTGATGTCTACAAAATGTTTCACTAAAACAGACCACACATTGGTGTTGTTCCTGTGTAATCTTTGGTAAATCATGATGAAAATAGTCATTTTTTTAAAAAATATTAAATATATCTTTGTATATGTCTTAATTAGTCAGTGTTTGGTTAATGCTGTAACCTTTATATTAATCAATTACTGGCAAAGGTACATTAGATAACTGGTTTTGTTTACTGTAGAATAATAAGTTGCAATAGTCTCCCCTGCAAGCAAGTACAGGCATTGCACCCGAAAGTAATACTATAATCAGTTCGTTATTCTTCTTTTTGCCTAAATATCTTTAGTAAATATATTTTTAGCTGATCTTCTCTATTGATCAATGTTTCTTACTGCGTGTGCCGGGAGTGGGTTGGGTCGTTCATACCTTTTCTGCAATGACAGCAGGGACTGGTCTTACGAACGCCCTTTCCTCCCAGCCATATACATTGACCTCAATTAAGGGAAGTTAGATGCAAATTCACCACATTGAGACATGGGGTTTAAGTATAGTAAATGCCAAAAGGAGGCAGCATTTGTTAGTGTGGGTGGTATTCCATAATCAAAATAGCAACAATGCTCTACTCCAATTTTTTTTTTACTTCATTTGAATACCTTGGTTATATGCAATGATTGTATTCCCCCAAAAGGGTTTGCATAAGCTGAAATCACATAAAACAAACTACTATTTAAATGAAGAAAATAAGGATATGTTCCACAACCTATACTGTACTGTCCCAAACCCATTTATACTAGTAGAGACTGGAGTACTGTACTTCCCCAACAAATGAACACATACTTCCCACTATTGTCCTCTCCTGCATGTTTGTATTAAATAAAATACTTATACTGTACAGAATCATATAAATAATAATTTTTATGAAAACAAACTCAGCAGATATTTAAATATAATCTATACTCTTGGTAACCCAAGTGTTTGGTTCGTCTTAAACAAGTAGCACACGGCTGTACCTGAGCTTCTGTATGGTACACACTTAATGTTCTCTCCATCATCATCATCATCATCATCATCATCTTTCATTGGCACATTTTATTTAAAAATTGTAACATTTTATAAATTACTATTTTCAATAAAAAACCATCAGATAATGTTTTAAGATATTTAAATATTAATCTATGGAATATTTTGCCTGGTTGTTGCTCCACAGGGTGGCGGGTTTGGACCCATATAAGATTTGGTGCACACTTCATTCAAAATGTCAACCACATAACAATTTTCTCGAGCTCACATTTGCAGGATTGCCCTGATGGGCAAATTAATGTCACAAATAATTATCCACATACTGTATTGGCAGATATGCATTTGACAAAGAACAGTTGTACTGTATTAACAGGATGGAAGTGGAGTAGAACACGATTTCATATGCTCAGTTATGAAAACAAAACCAAATTTTTCTTGCATATGAAGAATTTCTGGTAGAAGTAGGGTCCTTGCTTAAGACCTCACTGTACAGTACAACCCTCTATCATTATACTGTATTGAGAAGATAAAATTTTTTTAATCTTACATAAAGTGTTAAATGCCATAATTAAGGAGTGCAAGGAAGGTAATTTTTTACCACATAGTATTTTGTATGTACAGTCCACTCCACTTATAAGCCACACCAACATGGAATATAAACTGTTTATAAACTTTGTTTCTAAAACCTATCCATACCAACAGGTTTGGGGATACGCGTTAATTTTGCACCTTGGCTGACCGCCGATTAATTGCCTGATTTGTGTGTTTCAGGAAATGGGGGAGGGATGGACCCAGCGAAGTAGCCGGTTAAGAATTTTAAGGCTGTCAATTTGTGTGACTTGCAAATGGCTTGGACTGTACAGTATAGTACCTTCAAACTTCACCTAACCAACCTAATTGGCTGCACTACATTGTTAAATACCAATACTGTCTGTATACCATCCTAACACAGTTGCTAAAATGCAACAAAACCTGGAAACCTCATCTAACCTTAACAGTTTTTGCCCACTTTAAGTTGAAAACACAACTTCTCATTCAGTCAGTGATATAAAGCAATCTTGCACCTAGTTAGTACTTAGTTGGCAGCTGCTGGAAAGCCCCCATGGATAATGGCTGTAAAATGTTGAAGAAGAAAAGGTTAACTTCAGTGCATAGTTTTGGGTATGGTAGAAAACAATTCTGCCAAGATCCATCATTGCATATTTCAGAGGCCAAAACCTAGTCCTTTTGTGTCCACATCTATTCTTGTTCTTAAGGCTTTCAGGGGGGGGGGAGGGTGATGTAATGATTCTTGAACTGAATGGTTTAATGAGTACAGTATTACTCAGATGAAGTTTCAGATGAATTCAATACATCACAGTAAAGAGAACCTTGAAGGAGTATGGCCTTCACCCCTTGGTTTGATAGATGATTTTTGAGTCATTCATATTCAACGAGATTTAGAAAGTTTTAACTCTCAAACTGACAAAGAAATTCTTCCACCAAAAAGCCCTTCATTTCCATGTGATAGGAGAACTGAAGATCTTTATAAAACTGTCTGGAGTATATAAGGGAATGGTGTGCTGGAAAACTCAAAATAGTTTGTATTTTCAGTAGTAGACTGGAAATAGAGACAGAATTACTGTATGTAGGTATACCTACTAGGAAAGTTTTTGTTTTTAGTACGAGGAATTCACCCTCGTCCTCTTTGCCAGACCCGCTTCAAGCAGGTAGTGCGAGAGGATTGTAAGCTGTATTATTTAAATTAGGAAGGTTAGGTGTTGGGACGTTGTTCTTTCCCCACATAGAGTATTCGAATTAGCCTTGAAATAGCACAGGGTGATGGATCAGTTGTAACTGCAGTGCTTTGGTAGGTTTTGTATAGTAAATTAAGGGTGTAGACAGTGAGGTCCGATCTTGTCCTAGAGTTTTGTTCGGTGGAATAACGTAACAGGAAAGAAAAGGGCTGCCGTTCAACACCTCCACATTAACCTGAATAAGTATTTTGTTTATCTTTTCTTTCTCTGACTTGGAGGGGAACATCTATAGAAGTGTATTTTGTTCTGTATCTTCAGTACAACACATCTTTGGTTGTTGTGTGTGGAAAGTTTCAGGACATTTTATATGGAATATAATTTATCCATTCCATCACTGATGCACAATGCTGGAACATTAACAGTGTTTATGGATTCATAGGATTATAATTAGGCCAATCATTTCATATCCTGTAGTATTCCATTTCTTCTTTACTGAATTGGGCTGTTTTGCACAGTGATATCTCCGTTAGGCTGAACAATTGGTGCAGAGCACTTCCGGGAATGAGATTTCTGGGTAACGATACGACTCTCAAAGCCGGAAAAAATCCCTCATCCCCAGAATATTCTGGGTAATGGAAAAATGTTCTTGGAAGTTCCATAAATTGCACATGACATCATCTATTGAACCTGGAAAAATATCCCCCATCACTGGAATTTTCTGGGTACCGGTAGTACCGGAAAAATTGTCTTGGAAATTACGGAAAATGCTCCCGATTTTGATCTCTCAAAACCGAAAAAAAAGCTCCCCCCCCCTTCCCTGGAATTTTCCAGAAAATCCTTCTCAAAGCCTCAATTTTCCGGAAAATTCTGGCTTTGGTAACGATTTTCCGAGAATATTTCAATTCCGGCTATCGGAGAGTTCCGGTTAAGCGGGATTCTGGCTAATGGAGATATTACTGTACTGGTTTATGGGATCCAGGATAACACCAGAGTTGCTTGGTAAGAGAGAGTAAGTATTTGGTTCAGTACCCATCTCCTGTGTTAAGTAGTTTGAGTAGTTCTCGCATGGTATATTGTCTGCCTAGTCTTGTGTACCACTTATTCCTGCTTTGGAACTGGCTCTTATAACAAGTGCCTATTGGCAGAGGGCATAAGCCAATTATTAAGGATTGACCCTGGATTGTTTAATTTTTTTACTGGAGCTCATAATTAAGTGCCTGGGTGGATGGAGATGGAGTATTAGTCCGGGAATCTTGGTGGATGCAAGATGACTGGAAAGGTGTATTAGCTGGGAGGTCATGTGTTCTAATTAGGCTTGCTTCTAGAAGGCAACCTTTGCACCTAATCTCCCTCACTTAAGATCAATGTATGTGATGGGTGATCAGCCCCCAGTTGTCAAGGTAGTTAAAGCAGGCACAGTAACAAAACCTGCTGGGCTACAGGTTGTATACAAAAATTAAACTTCAGCATTTATTCCAGTCATCTAAATTTTCACATATTCATGGGGAGTGTCATTAAGCATTAAATGTCATACGTATATACTGTATAGAAATTTTTTGTATTAAGTAGATATATTCTAATGTTATTTTAGATTTCAGTTGTACAGTAATTATGTACTATAAATGGTTATGAGCTGTTACAGGCTTTTTCCACTAATAAATTTCGTTAATGTATGCAGATATGAAAGTGTGAGTAAAGCATTGGCCTTCAGGTGGAGTGTATGTTAAAGTTTCAGATAGTATTATATATATACTGTAGTACAGTATAACATTGGTGAGATATTATTATAGATTATTAAAGTAATTCTATCTTTAACACAGTTCCTTATATTTTTATATACCCTGTACTGAAATACTGTACCATTGAAACGGAGTTCTGTTGGTAATAATGTACACTTAACCTGTAAAACATCCCAAATGGCCACGCTGGCCTTATGTGATTTTGTGATCTGATGTGTACAGAGAAGTCTCACTGTAATTTCAAGGCCTCAGATTAAGCTAAACCTTCTCACCTTGGGGTTATCACCCTATATGAATTGTGGGAATGGTTTCAGGAAATTTTCATATTAAAATCCTCAGCGAGTTTATCGTAAATTTTTAACAAGTTGTATTACTTTTTAAGGATAATTGTAGTACAAGAAAGTGCTTAGCCCGTCATTACATACTTCAAGTATTATCCGTAAATTTCACTTTATCTAATATACTATAGGAATAGCTGTCTGTCTGTGTGTGTGTCTGTTCTGGGCAGCCGAAACGGCACAATCGTTTTTCATCAAACTTGGTGGAAAAATCGCAAAAAATTCGTAGAGTGGAACAAACCTGGTCCCATGTCGATGGTTTCTTTAGAAAGGCATTAATTAACCATTTTATTTACGATGGAAAACGATGCAAGTCTACGGACTTGGCGCACCCTCGTACGCTGTCAGTCGGACGGCGGGTGCGCGCTAGCCAAGCACGAGCGTTCAAACTTTCACCGGGCACAAAGGGCCCACGTTCACTTGTTATTTTCTATAGTACAGACATAGTGTTAGTTGTTATTGTGCTTTTTTTTCTCAGCTGAGAAAAGATGTCCCACCCCCTCAAGAGTTACAGCCGATTGGCTGTTGCAAATCTGTTTGATTTTGTCCTTAAGTAATGATCTATTTCTAAATGAGTTTATTCATAATCGTTGGGACGACCGTTTCTGACGAGAAAGATAGTTAGCGAAATTATATAAAGATACATATATTCATTATTTGAAACAGGAGCACATAGGAAGTTTATCAGAAATATTGTACATGAATTAACTATTAAACTCTAGTAACAAATTCATGCTTTCGGAGGATGCATTTAATATATACTTATTTTTACCTACAATGAGGCATATTAAGACAAATTGTGTATCAGTAAAACTACATTATGCAAAAACTAACGTTTTAAAAGTTCAGAATCACACTGAAGTATTACACAGCCCCTGAAAAGTGGTGGAGTGCGACAGACTTGGCCGCTCGAGTGAACAGCCATCAGCAGAGGTGGGAAATATAACTGAACAATTTCATATTTCAGTGATTCTGAACTTTTAAAATGTTAGTTTTTGCATAATTTAGTTTTACTGATACACAATTTGTCGTAATATGCCTCATTGTAGGTAAAAATAAGTATATATTAAATGCATCCTCCGAAAGCATGAATTTGTTACCAGAGTTTAACAGTTAATTCATGCGTGAAACAGACAAATGTTTAACCCGGACTGAGGCGGAGTGAGCGCACATGGCCCAGCCGCCTGGGACAAGAGAGACACCTTGCAGGACGCCATAAAACCCGCAGGCTCCCCGTCCCAGCTGCGAAAATGCCGCCAACTTTAAAACTACCCGCAGATATTCTTGGGTACATCCAGGGTGTCATACGCAAATAATTGAAGGCTGTGAATTGTAAGGGCACGCTGTATTTCACTTAATATGTTTATTATTGGCTGATAATCATTGTGTACATAAAAATTTAATTGAAACATGTTTTGTAATATCTTAAGATGTTTTGGGAAAGTTTTTCAAGAACAGAACCCTTGTGCATATGAGGCCGGAAAAGGGAAGCATTTGCCGCCAGTTAAGGGTAATAACTGTGTGTGCGTGTGATTGGAGATACTTATATAAACGGAAAAATATGAAGGGAGAGAGAGAATAAATGGAAAAATATTTACCTTTTTAGCTTTTCTTCTCACAATGGTAGCTAACTGTCTTTTGTCAAATAACATAATCCCCTTTGGTAGCTTGTCACTTTTCCGATATGGATCTTGTACAGAGTGATATACAGTACTGTACTGACTTCAATAATCAATCCACCTTTACTGCAAACTGACACAATGATACGTGTAGCCTACACCTACAGTATCTTAATACTATGGTTTTGGTTTGTAGTAAACAAAAGGTTACACGAGGCTGGCAAAATCTTTTTGTAAATGTTCTAACAATGTACGATATTAGGTTGTTCCCTTTAAGAATTGTGCACATTGTGTAGTACAGTACAGTACAGGTACTCTTAAACAATGAGTAATTCAAAATATCTGAACACACCCCTATTTTAACACTACTGTACAGTATAACGCTACAAATATGCACAAATTATATTTTAAGGCATATAAGCCCGAAGGTATTGTGACCAATTTTCAGCACATAAGTATGGTATGCATCTAACAATGCAAATTCAGTAATTAATTTAGAATATATGTAACAGTTTACTGATATAAGACTGCTCAAGAATAATTTCTTTATTAAACTGTACAATAACAACAGTAAATATACATCATCACCGAGTAATATAGGTACCCTAGTTTGAAATCTGGTAATCATTAATTAAATTCCTGTACGACTAAATCTAATCTTACCAGCTACAGTAGTCACAAAATGGTCTTTTGCATCTAATTCACGTACAAAATGAAAAAAGGTGTACTGTATTTATTTATTTTGTTATCCCCCACAATTATGCAATTTATTACTCCTACTTTTTTATGAAAATAATATAAGTACCACCTTCAAAATGGATTTGTAGCTTCCTACTTTCACTTATTCTTATCTCCTTTATCATCTTGAGCTTCTGCTTCAAGTAGAGCAGATGTGATGCCAACCTTTTGAAGCTCCTCAATCAGTTCTCCATTCTGATGCATTTGTAATAGAATGTCACAGCCACCCATGAATTCTCCATTTACAAAAACCTGTGGTATTGTTGGCCATTCTGAGTATTCCTTGATCCCTGTAAGAAATAAGAGGACAATAAAAACAGGTATTATTTTTGGTAACAATCACCTGAATTACTTCAGCTATAGTTGTTATGGTGCAGGTAGAAGTATGTAGTAAAAGCAGTTTCTCTTTACCACCTCCAACACCCATTTTATTATTGTCATAAAACAGAGGTATTGTACAGTGTAATGTACTGTACTGTACTGTACTGTACTGTTTGGTGAAACCTTCTTGAATGAAAGGTCAAGGCAGAGGAGTAACAAATAAAGTCATGATTGTTTAGGCGATCAATATTTCACCTATCAACAAACAATAATGCAAAGTACGAAAAAAGTACAATACACTGAAACCTCGATTTAACGGACTACAGTACATGTACTGTATTTGGAAAGGATAAGTCAGTTATATCAAGGGTCCATTAGAAGTGAAACCTCCATCTAATCAACTATATAGAGATGAAAGTCTGTTAGATAGGGGTTTTCACTTCTATTAGACCCTCAATATAACGGATTATATGAAGAGAAGTCCGTCATATGAAGGTTTCACAGTACAGTACATTAAAAAAAAATAAGGTTTGCAGGGGTAAAAAAAAAAAAAAAAAAAGCACTGCAATACATTTAATTTTTATACATATACACGTGAAACAAAATTTTATCTAACCTACCTTGTCGGACATTTTCATCTTCCAAAACATTATGGGCATCATATTCAACACCATGCATGCGTAAAATCTGAACTACAGCATTGCTGAAGCCGCATCTTGGCATGTGTGGAGTTCCCTGTAAAGAAGTGTGTTGCAATATTAAGCTTTACAACATAAGAGAAAATTAATGTGATATACTGATACAGTAATGTAAATACAATCCCTCCCTTGTTACCTACCAGTACTGTACTATAAAACAACTTAACCCACCTCAAAAATTTTATACCACATACAAATAAATGTATATGTAGTGCACTGTAATTTATGACTACAGTACTGTGTTACATATTCCCTGTATCTTACCATCAATTCTGAGAATTGACAAATAAAGTAAATTTCATCTGAAGGGCTATGGTTGGTTTGTATATATGTTGTCTTCACGGAGCATGTCTTCTTACTTCTTAGTCATTCTTCATTTGAATTGTGCCTCTAAATTTTCAATTAAAAAGAAGTTAATTTGAAGAGCTGAAATTATGTACTGTACCCTGTATAGGACAAAAGTGGCCATGAGATCTAACCAATAATGAAAGCAAACAAAACTACCCGTGGATATTAAAGTGAAGGTGGGCTACATTTGGTTGGTTCTTATCACCTACTTTCATAAATGGTGTGGTCCTCTTGCTTATAACATGATCATTAGCATAACACCAAAATGTTATTTATGTAACTTCACACTCCATTTTCTCGTTGTCTTTACAATATTGAGTTGTGACCAAGCACAGAACTCTATTGTACAGTAATGATTTATATATGAGATGGAAAAAAGAATATTGTACTATACAGTACTCTAAATAGGTTTTGTCAGAAATTTATATATTTTTTTAGTTTTTCTGACTTGTTTCAGGTTTGGTTCTTTAGGTTCTTTTGCTTTTCCTTTTGTCTTGTTGTGTTAAGTTAGATGTACAAACTGGGGGGGGGGGGCCAGGGATAGAAGGTTAGGTTAGGTCCTTCTGTTTTTTCTGGTTAGGTTAGGATTGAATACCAAGTACATTAAGTTAAATTCTTGATTTTTTTTTGTTTGGCAAAAATTAATTTCCTCCACCATTTTTTGGGGTGTTCTTGATAACCTGAAGAATTTTTCTTCTATTAAAAAGTTTTCTAACCTAGCTGCTTAATCCGGGCACCTTTCTTAAATACAGGTATTACACGGTTTAAAGTTTTCTGTAATAGATTTTGTTTCATCAGTTTTTCGACCCCATATTTTCCCTCTATTTCAAAGCCCTAACTACACTGTTTAATCAAAATTGCATTTTTAAGTGAAATTTAAAATAAAAATAGAATAAAAATAAAAAGTATACAAATTTCTGACAAAAGCACTATAGAATAAAGTATAGTAATTTTTGTTTTATTAATTTTTTGCTCTATCTCCCTCTATACAAATCAATACAGTATAGAGTTTAAAGTTCTGTGCTTGGTCACTACAGAATTTAGTACTCTTGGGTAAATTTTTACTTTCTGACAACACAGGAACCATGATAATAATATCTTAAACAGTAATCAATAAGGTAAAATTATAGTTTCGGTCATCCAGCAATTTTTAGGATTTTAAGTTTCGGAATGAGAAGTTTAGAACTTTAGACAATTCTAAGACACTTTTCTTCTATGACGTTTCCCTCGGAAATGACCTAACCTGGCATATATAACTCACACACAGTTCAATTCTGGTCACCGTATTACAGAATGGATATAGAATCCCTAGAAAGAATTCAGAGGAGAATGACAAGACTAATCCCAGGCATTTGGAACATTGAGTAAAGAGACAGGTTAAAGCATCTTAATCTGCACTCCCTCAAGAGACGTAGAGTAAGGGGAGATATGATAGAAATGTATAAATGGAAGTCAGGGCTAAACAAAGGGGACATTACAAAGGTACTCAAACTATCCAACCAGGAGCAAACTCCTAACAATGGTTTTAAATTAGACAAATTTAGATTTAGGCGTGAAATAGGTAAACATTGGTTTGGAAATAGAGTAGTGGAAGAGTGGAACAAGTTACCAAACATCATCATTAACTCGAATACACTGGACAGCTTCAAACATAGGTTGAATGGACATATGAGTAATAGGGGTTGGGTGTAAATGGGACTGCCCAGTATAGGTCAATAGGCCCGCTGCAGTTTCCTCCATTCTTATGTTCTTATGAAACTTCATAGAAAAAGTCTTAGAATTGTCGAAACTACCAAAGATCCCCATGTTGTCCGAAAGTAAAGTAATCCCGAATATTTACCATATTTTTATATGATTTCTACATAACATTCCTCCCAGCTTTCGAAGATCACATGATCTGTAGTGCTCCACCCAAAACATTCTGGCAACTGCACAAACAGCGCAATAAATGTAACATTTACTCTACCTTGTTTTGCAAAATCTGTCATATATCTGGTTAATATCTACTCAGCACTATGTGTTTTAGGTCTAGGGTCTGTAAGTAGTGAAAATTAAGTTACAAACCTTCATAAACACGACGACTTTATGGTCGGCGAGCAATTTGTCAAAATATTCTTTACTACCCACTTGTGTGCTACAGGATCTTAAAAATGTTGATGTGATTGGGTGGGATGCTCTCACAACACGGGCTACTAAGAACATAGTGGCGGTGATGACCAAAGACCTTCACTGAGCACAGTTCAGGACCACACCACAACACCTGATGTTACGTCGTCTGCCTACATGTGTTCCAATCTTGTATGTAATTATTAAAGCAGGTATTCTTGTATGCCTTAATATACTATTATAAATTGAATTATTCGTATTTCTAGTCGTATTTTCAGTTATTCATAAAATTCACGAATAAACAAAAGTAAGCGGTATTCATCTGTGAAAATTTTAAAATCCATTAACCCACACACTCGAACATGTGCCAGCTGATCCCAAGGAAAACAGTAGAAAAGGTAAATTATTCCCTCAAGTTTGCTGCTTACCACAACTACCAGACTTTTAATATTGTTGTCAAAATATTTTTTATTTCCACTTTTCGGAAATGTAAAGGTTTATATTGCCTTTGATGGATTGTTGTGAAGAGTTTTCATCCGGTGATCCAACTTTGGGAGCCGACTCAGCCGAGCCTCAGTGTTGAGGGTTGTCTCGGGGTGTGAGGGCGTTACAGTTTCCGTCGTCGCCACATAAGTTGGATCCATTTGAGTTAAATAATCGTGGACTAATCGATCCTCTTAAACTGTTTTATTTGGATTAACCGTAAACACGTGCGAAATGAAATAACTATTTCGTATGTCATTTACTGAAATGGCAAGCTGTCATACGTAAGATAACCTTACATTATTATATTTAATTCTTTACAGAGAAGTCGAATGGTTTCCAAGAACTAGGAAATATAGTGAGGCGAACAAAGTTTTGTGAGTGAAGAACTACAGACCTGACAATCTAGCCAAATTACTTTTTAGTGTAGCAAATGTTGGGCAGTAGCTCTGAGATGGAAGTCCTGCAGAACAGGTATATGAACTTGACTGTTTTTCACCTGGCTTTTCATTAAAAGACATCCTTGTCTATCAATACAATAATTTTATGTGCGTATTTTGTTTGTTTATATTGAATAGCTAATATAAGAAAGATTTCAGTATGAGCTTTTATTTTGATTAGACTTTCAGTGTGTAGAGCTTTCTTTCACGACCTAATTGATCTTTGATGTTGACTTATTATTTACCATGAGTCATAATGCAGTAGAGGACGGCAGGGTTGACCTGACGCAGTTTGTCAATACTTTGACGTGCACTACTATTAGCTAATGCATTACAGCCTGACAATTTTGCTGTTGCCATTTGATCATAAGGATGGGTAACTTAAGTTTCCTTGTTTTTTGTTTTTACCGTCCAGACTGCTTGAACGATTATCAAATACAACAACACTTAATTTATCTCATCTCGGTGGATGTATTCAATCAAGATTTTAATACGGGTGCCCTTTAGACATTTCAAAATGCTACCCTCTTTCAGGAACCTAGATACTTAGGCACACCATTATTTCTAGTCTATTTTTTTAAGCAATACTATAGTCATATTCGTTGGTAGAGGCCTGGTGATAGGCGTTTCTGGGTTTGGGGCTCTTTCGTGGCTTGGCTTGTCAGTTACCCTCGACCACCAATTTTTTCGCAGTACTTCGCTGTATATCTTCGATGTATAATTGAAAGCCAAAGAAGATTTACCGAAGAAGTAGTTAGGTTAGCGTAAGGTTAAGTTATATTAAGGTTGAAAGCTGGGAAACTGGAGTCTGGAGGCAAATACCACCTTGGTTCTGCCGACAGATTGTGGTATACCAAACATAGGATTTTGTTGACGCAGCCCAATACTGCATCCAGGTGCTGCATACTTCAATTTTAAGAATACATCTATGAAGTAGTGTAGTCTGAGCATGTGGTTCGTCGACGGAGCTATACTTATTGCCTTTTGAAAAACAGGACTGTCAATACAGCGAAATATGAAGTCCAGGACTCCTAACCGTCAACAGAACTCGATACTCAATTACAATATTCTGCTTCGTCTTGAAATTTGACTGGCACCCGATTGCCTATTCGAACTCGTACTGTATATCGTAGAAAATATTTTAATGATACTCGTTAATGAACCCGGTGTCAGAAATCCATAAAAAACGCCGTTTATAGGTATACGTACACATGAAACGGTAAGTAGGCCGTGGCTTCCATACGTTTCGTGGTGGTTCAAAACGAAAAGCAAGATATCGACGGAGTCTCCTTATACACAGTGACACCCCAGTGTTATTATAGCTCTGTTAACAGAACTGTAACCACTATCGCAACTGAAACTGTTCAGATATTTATTACAATACACTCACTGTTTGCTATTTGGTTTCGTCGAATTGGTTGTGCATAGTCTTAGTGGTCACATTAACGTACACAAAACACTCATACCGTGTATGTTAGTGTGTAAATAACGAAGTGTTGTAGGCACACTCAAATAGTTTGTTACTGAGCAAGGGAGTGCCACGCCCTTAATGACGATATTATAGTCCGTGGTGAGGCGACAGTACCTCCTTCAGAAATTACAATTGAAGCTAAGCTAACCAACCAGATATATATGTCGTTAAATTGACTGCTTATAATAACTTATATGTCCTGAATATGCATGTGTATACATAATGTACAGTACATTCGTGTGTCTTTTATTGAACAAAAAACTAATGTAATTTAATACAACGACTGAAGTAAGGAGTGGGTATTTTAACTCTTATTTTTCTTAATGGTCAACTTGACACGTGGAAATGGTCGAAAGCGGACAATTGTGTTGGGTCCAGCACAGTAATGACAGATTTGCATGTCAGGCTCCAGTAGCGAGGCGGCAGGCTGGCGGCTGGGCGTCTGCAGCTTGCATGCACTGTAAACAGACAACACTGCTGCTTTCGCGTGTACATAGCAAAAGTAGGCTTATGTTATTTCATCGATTGAAAATTGTTTTCACAGGTGCTATTTTCCCACGTGTTGTGATTTTGTGAGCGTAAAAACATATAGCTAAGCGGTTATTTGATAGCAGATATTTACGTGGCCACTGTTTTGACAGAAATCAACTAATAGTTCCAACCAAAATTCCAGGATTAGAAAATTGGTGCTCGATTCAAATGCTGGAATTTTTTTACAAGCAATTTCTGTTACTGGGTTTAAAAATATGTTGATTCAATTCTGGTAATGTTTTAATACCTTAGATACCGAACGAAGAAGAAATTTTGGGTAGATAACAGGTACAGAAGGTACCTTAGTGTTGTATCAGTAATAAAACTTTGGCACAAATATACCTGCCGATATTAATTTGTACTACATATTACAGTGCAGTGATTTACACAACTCCAAAAGTTCATATTAGAATTCATCGAAATTTCCCATAATATATAAGCCATTACTATATAAAAAATATAAAGTAGACATAACAATGACAGCACTAATAGATAGCTTCTTCCTCTGAGATCCAACTGAGCTTGTTTGTGCAGACATCTACAGTATACAGTGTGGGGGGAAACGCAGTTCAGGTTTGTTTGCTGAGACAAGTTGAAGTAAAAATGAGCTATGTGGCTGGCTTTATGATGTATCTCTCTCGTTCACCGTAGTATGGTCAACCTAATTTAGAAATTGTCTTGGCTTGTTTTCAGTCCCTCATATTCTGCGCAATGTAACTGTAGTTGGGGAAGTCTAGAAAGTCATCCATGAGAAAAATATGAGCTTCGTAAAATAAATGTTCAATGTAATAAGATAATATAAAAATTCTGATACATCAATATGAAATGGCGTGATTTGGGCGAAGGTATAGTGCAGAAAAAGTTTGTGCAGGTTGGCCAGGAACTCACTTCTGTGTACATGTTATATAGTAGCCAGACTGTGTACCATGTAATATTTGGGGGCATGACAAGAATTCTCCGAATCCCACAACAAAGCCCCGTGGCTTGATGCCGACGCCACCTCCTTGTGACAACTCATGGCTGGTGACAGATTTTTGGCGGCGGCGGTTTGCACAGGCTTTTCTGCATTCCTTCGTCAGAATACCAAGTCCTTGGTCTATAGGAGAGTTCTCTTAGGCATTAAAACCGTGAAACATCCGCCGAAAAACAAAATCTGATAAGCAATGTAATAATGTTTTTTGAGAAATGTCGATAATTTTTATTGTTAAAACAATTCATCAGCGTAATAAAAACACCACGAAAAGTTTAAAAAATTTGTAAACATGAATGTCTCCGCCAAACTAAACGCGATCTTCACCCTATGTTTATTTCTGCAATCTAGCCGTGCAGGTATAACTGATGCACGCACACACAGTCCCAATGTAGTTCTCCCCGGCAGGCGGAGCCATAAAAAAAACCCTGGGCATTATTACAACATACATCTGTAGCGAGTAATCAGGAACGAGTATACTATATGTATTACACAGCCGCAACAGTAATTTATTAGGTAGGTGTGCCTCCCCGCCCCAAGCTCAACAAAATACAACAACCTGAGAGTACAGTACTGTTCATTAACGTTTACTGGAAAAAATGTGTACAAAAATTTATATTCTTTGTTTTTCATATCCGTGTGCTATATAATTGTGTGGAACTTCACATTTGCCAGTCTATCTGATGATTATAACATTAGGATATGATTGTTGAGACTGTAACCACAATTTGAGCAGCCACCTGAGCCCGACTGAGATTGAGGGCAGTGTAAGAAGTGACAGATAGCCAGTAGGTCATGGACGATGATGGCGACATGTAAATGGTCGTGTCTTGCCAGCCAAAATATACCACTCAAATAGTAAAGATGATTTATGGTTCTAGTAAATTGTGAAAGACAGAAAGAACGGATTGGAATTTCATAGGGTTGACGACCTAAGGTTTTGCAAAATTTAGAACGAATTAAGGTGTCCTGGTGTTTTACTCCACAAGTTTTGAGTCGCAAAATAAAAAAAGTTCCAGGGATCAATTTTTCGAGTAATTCCATTGAACTACAGAACACGTGAGATACAAGTTTTAAACGCACAAGGTCAACTTTTTTTTTTTTTTTTTTACATATTTACGGGGGTAGATAACACTTGAGGTTGGGCTCCCCAAAGTATTCAAGGAGCCAGACGACATAGAACTACCTAAGATGAGGAAGGTGGCCTGAGGAGTGAATTAGTCTCCTTTTATTAAGACCAGAGGAGGGCGTGGTGCTGCTGTGGGAGTATTTTTGGACACCAAGAGAGAAGTGGTGGTAAGCATTTGGACACGCGACAAAGATACTGTACTCTCCCTCATCTCCCCCGTCCGTCCTCTCTTCTTCCTTAGGGGTAACCCCTCCCCCCCCCTCCTATCTTTTTTACTTTCCCGTCATAAATATTCTTCACTAGTACTCTCAACATGTACTTTTACTGTAACCGTCAATACTTTTAACTAAAGATCCACTCATTATACTATCTTTATTATTTGTATTTACTATTATTTTGCACGAATGGCATTTGGGGATGGAGGTGCAACCAGTGTGTGATGTTGGGGATGTATGAAGCGTCAAAGAAAAACAGATGGTTAGCTTGGCACCTTGTGGTAGGAGAAAATACTGCACCAAGACGTGTCTGGCAAGGCAGCTTGAAAGAACGAATGAGGGAGTCTGTTGCTCTTTGATTACGGCCGCCACCCTCGACCATGGCGGGCGAGGGCTTGCAGGAGTGATAAGAGGATATCTATTTAATTTTGACTCCCTTGCTTCTCTACATCTATTGTGATTCTTCATAATATTCTTGTTCAGTATTTTCCTGCTTTGATTTTCAATTCCGTGTACTTTCTTTCCTCCGTGGCCAGTTATTTTATTTATGCCAGACTTTTCCCGCACCTCCTCCAGTTCACAATAATCCTCGTCTTTTCTCCAAACCCTGCTTGGTTTGCTTTTCCTGCAGCCCCTCCTTGCACTACATACACTTCCTATCCCATTATCCGCCCACTTGTCGCAATTGCTACGCCAGGAAGGCGAGGAACACCATCTC